CAAAACTTATCCCAAATTTTTATGTATTTTAGGTTAAAAAGATAAAATTTAAATAAAAGATGACGCTCGATAGATAGTCCACCCGGCCCTTAAAAGAAAAATCTCCTGTATGTCGCCTCGAGACTAGCATAGCACCCAAGAGAGAGAATTTACATATGTTTTGATTCTTTTCTTTAGATAGTACCTAATTTCAATGTATATAAGCAATTGGTAATTTTTTTTCTCCTTTATTTTGTTTGTAATTTATTATTAAAATAAAATAATATCGCCAAAAGCCCCCAAATGGAATATGCCGTTTGTAGAAGCCGTCTATAGCTGATGGAATCAGCGATTGTATAGGGTTTTAAGACAAGACTGTTTTCGACAACCCCAACAATAATTTACGGAAAGCATTTTATATTTGTAGAGTTTTTCACTTGATTTTATAAGCTAGCTAGGGTTCGTATAATTATTTTGATTTTTACTTGGGAATGGAAGCGGTGAATTTGGAAGCGTTCGATTTATCGGTTTTATAATTTTGCGTGGAAATGGGTGCGACAGGGCTCGCATGAAGGAAAGAATATACAGCTGAATTAATTGCAAAAAAAATCGGAAATTTTGTTGAGTCATAGGTGGACTTGATCCAAACTACGCGACCGATTCGATAATTTTCTCTTTCAAATAGTTATTTATGTTATAAGGCGTGAAACGTATTTGTCGACGAGTTCAATGATAATGCGCGTTTTCGGCCCTAAATCAACATTTATTCTGGCACATACTTTGTTATTGTCAATTCTATAACAAGTTCATAATTTTAACAAGTAAAATTTTATATTTTTGCTGTGTAACTCTACATTCATCTCCGGGCACTCGTCATTTCAACAGATCAATTTAAAAAATGTGATAATTATTTAGTAGATTCATCGCAGAGATTATACCTCGGAGTCAGGCGGTTTACAATCAGTAATTACCCAAAGAAACACCGACAGTAGGCAGCCCGATGGCTGTCGTTGTTCAAAGATACGAGAAATTGGGTTCAGTAATCCTTCAATAGTGTAAAGTGGGAAATATGCGTAAAATGCGTAAAATGCGTAAAATATGGGGACTGCTTATTCAAAGTTATTAAGCAGTAACTCTTCACAATTAGAGGTGTCATTTTAGAGGTGGATTTTCGACGATTAAGTGACATCGCCTATCTCACCAATATAGACTTGAGAGTGACTCAACTTCTACATAAAATCTTCATATTTATTTATTATTATGAATTGCCGTAGAAGGAAGGTGGAGGAAGTGTGGAGGTGTAGAGAGGAGTGTAGACCACTCTGTGCCTGGTAGTCACATGTTCACATTTCTCTTTTTTTTGTATTGGCCATTGCCTCAAGGTGTATCAACATATATTGTGATCGGTGAGGCCAAGAGGGCTGTTGTTGGGGTATTTAACTGTTCCATTTTAATTTCTACACTCGGCAACATGCGCAAAGGTATACAAGACTCATATCATACATACAAGATGTATGAGGATGGTCGCCTGGATTAGGACCAGAGTGCTGGTGTGAATCTATTAAATAATTACCGAAAATATATCTTCTAGCTAAATTGACCATTAGTAAATAATATATATTGTAGAGGAATTTTAAACAATGTCAATATTCTCTTTTTAGATTGCGATTCAATGTATATTTGTAATGATTTCTTATTTGACTAATAGTTTTCGTTGATATATTGTAGTATGAAGTCTGTTATTTTCGGCCACATTTCGTCAGTTGTATTACCTTTGAATTCTTTAAGAATTCCCAACTTCTTGTAGTAATCTATCACTGGTTGTGTTTTAACTACGTAATCACTCAACCTCCTCGATACTAAGTCCGGTCTGTCGTCGATTCTTTGACTCAATGGCTCACCAGTTACATCATCTTTGCCCTGAACAATAACAGAAAAAAATACGTGGCTGAATAAATACTAGGACCAAAATATTCATTTTAACATAATAATTCCAATTAGTACTTGGAAACTAGTACTCTTTAATTTTTTTAGTAAAAATACAAATTAAAATGTTCTCCAGATGATTGAATGATTGAAGTTGCGGGTACATTTTAACGCAAGGAATTTAACACCATAAGTTTTGGAAAAGCCCATTCCTTCCATTCCATTACTTATTAATCCATTAAATAATTATTTCTATTAAAATTTGGAAATAGATAAAATAATGATCAAGTAATGAAGAAACATTACCCAAAGTATGGGATCGTTGAAGCCAACGTTGTAAACTCGTCCACTAGGCAGGTGCACCCATCGGTTTTTCACTCTCTCGATTATTACAGAGTGAGGAACAATCAAGTTCAAAACGAGATTCATTGGATGCACTTGCTGAAGTTTCTCAGCCTGCGTAACTGTGCGTGGAAATCCTAATGATCAACATTGAATAAAAGTCGATTGAAACAAAGTAAAATTTACCATTCCTACGTATGCATTCTATAATGCACAATTTATGTTATACAAGTTATAGAAAAGGATAAATTCAAAGCACTCTTTTATTATTTATATAAAAAACGGAGCATAATGTGTGTATGAGTGAAGAGAAATGGTAAACGTTATATTTTTCACCATTTTTCCTTCCAATTTCGAAACATTCCAATTGTCATTTTGCTTTATTATATTTTTAGAAATAATCAAATGGTTTCAGCAACACAAATTTCATCTCAAATTTTCATTCAATTCTGAACAAATAAAAAACAAATTTCATCAAAATTGTCATGTCAATTGCCATGTGAGCCTTCAGTCGATTCGTCTTGATATTTTTCATGAATATCACCGCAACTGATGGAGCTATCAAAATTTTCATGAAAACATTATTTAGTGAGCAATTAGTTCAAGTTATTCCACCACAAATATCATCTCTTTAAACATAATTTTTTATCATTTACATATTTTAGCATTAGCTAATTGAATTTTGGCAATTTCATATAATATTTGATTCATCATATGGAATTTTCAGAAGACAAGCAGGAGACCGAGCCTCTTCGGCATTGCTGTAAGAGTGTAATTTTTACGCAAGCAAAGGCGCGTCATTTGATCCATTGTAATGAATAATCATATAATTAATGGACCTAGTGTTTATTGAATAATTGAAACATCGGATGGATCAAGAGTCAGCAGTTGAAAAAATAAACTACAAATCGTGACAAGAACTTTATTGTAGATTTTTTCAACCCAACATGTCATATTGTTTTATCTACATAACATTATTCTATATACAGATATCCGGTATTGAAAAGAAAAACCATTTATCAGAAAATTGAAAAGAAGCAACAACATTTCGATTATTCACAATCAGTATTATTCTAATAAGTAATTTTTTGAAGTGGCCGGTGTTGACCAAATTCCATGAAAATTGAAATGAAGAAATGATACTGAAAATTGCGCTCATAACCCGCAATAATTGCTCTTACACCTCTTACACCTCTTACACCTCTTACACCTCTTACACCTATTACACTGATAAGATTACTTGGAGCGCTTGGAGCGCTTGGAGCGCTTGGAGTGCTTGGAGCGCTCGGAGCGCTTGGGTAAATGTTTTTATTTCGAGTAATAGTAAATATATCTTTTCTGTTTCTCACCATCAAGTAGAAGATTTCCATTCCTCACGGATTTCAATTCAATGTTGATCAATTGAATCATAATATCATCCGGTACAAAATTACCTTGGTTCATGTACTTTTCCACCCGTTTTCCAAGTTCTATGATAAAAATTAGAGAGAGAGGTATAGATATAATGTTTTTGTTCATTGAAAACGCCAAGTCATAGACTTGGCTTATTGAATTTTCGGCACCTGTCTGATGAGTCACATGATATCTCAGTCTATCTCCACTAGAAATGTGAGTAAATCCAAAAGAATTAACTATCCTGGAAGAAATTGTGCCTTTACCAGAAGCTGGTGCGCCAAGAATAAGAGCTTTGATAGTCTTTGCATTTGTCAAGCCCATACACACATTGGACATGTTGTTAATATAAAAAAGTGCTCGCGATGATGATCCCCAGTCTAGAATCAAAAGAATAACCATAAGTATTGACATAAAGTACATCTAATTGTCCTACGATTAATTAGAGGCAGTATCAATCATACGAATAGGTCAGTTACACTGTCGTCTTTTGAGAATGCTCGTCGTTCAAGTTCGCACATTGAATATCACTTGATCCCTGAGCTTTGCATTTAAAGTGTGATTTTAACGCTGGATTGACCTTCAATTTGAAGATAACAAACTAGGTTGAAACGTTACGCCGCCTACTGCTGCTAGTATTATAGGTGGCGTAAATTTGCCAATCATTTCGTCATTATTTTTTTCATCTTTATAAAAAAGAGTCTTGTTTTTTAAATGTGCCATTCATGATGACATTAAATAAAATAAATAATGTAAAATTGAACTTATGATTTTATTGTTAATCTAGTGTGTCTGCTCCAATATTCTTATTCCTCTCAATGGACCAATTATTGCTGTTTGTAGGATGTAGGGTGACCAGTCCTGTCCAGTATCACTCCGGCACATCATGCTATTGTTCCACAGAGTTTTATTTTTATTTACCATCGACTAATATACTGTTATCATCACACATGAAAACCACCATAGAACGTTAATATATTCCAAACAAAAATATATGATTATAGGAGTGCATTACATGTTGAGTGTTGTTACACTGAGAATCTCCTAAGATTGACAGGTTGGCAGGTACGGTAAATTAGTAGAATTTACAAAACGCTACATTTTATCATAATTTTTCAAATTTTTTCAACCCTTCATATTTCAACATTTCATATTACATGGAATTGAGGAAGAATTCATTATTCACCTTCACATTTTTTAGGATTTCCTTTACATTTTTTTTCAAGAATAGTTCAAATGGAAGAGAATGAGCACAGGTCGAGTTCTCCACCTCCATTATTAGCAGAGAGATATCAAGAATTTCATTTTTTTTTCTTTCAAAGCTGTTTACTTTTCAAATTAAATTAATAGCCTTTATGGAGAATAAAAAAAAAATTAACCTATAGCTTTCGAGGAAGATTTTTTCGGCATCTCGAAAGACTAAAATAATAGTTTTTAATGTATCTATTTATTTTATTGTGGGAAACTCAAAAAAAAAAAGTGTCAAACGACCATTTGCGGTTGTTCCCCAGATTTTTTCTTTTTTCGTTTTTCATCTTAAAGTTGAGAGAAGTTACTGGCGAAAACATATTTTTCATCACACGGGGCCGAAAAGTAACTTTTCAAGCACGCTCCGCTTCGCTTCGCTTCCCTAAAAAGTGACTTTCCCGGACATTGTGAAGAACAATACTGTACGCAACTCGTACAGAAAGTTGATTTTGGCATGTGGCATTATATCACACGCCTTCGGCTCGCTTTGCTCCGATAAAAACCCCTTTTCGGCGACAATGACATAAAATAGCATCATAGCCACGGCAAAAAAAGTCATGCTGACTCATGCGCTTTATAATATAATATAAAACCGCATTCGTCAGATTCACTCTTTCCGTCCTAGACGTGGAGAATACTATTTCACTATCCATCGTGGTTTTGGAACTGTTCATGCGTATAATAGTATATTACGCAACAAGTGCGTAACGGATTTCTTGGCTCGTGGGAGGGTTGTCAAAAAAACACGAGTCAAAAAATCTATAACGCACGTGTTTCGTACACTATTTTATGTCATTGGGCCCGTAATCCGCGATTGTACCGAGCGAAGCGATGTTAAAATCGCATGATTACGGGGATCTATGACATAAACTTTTAGATTCAATTAGACCAATGGCAATAGCGAAGTGGTTAAGGCATCAAACTGGCGTATAAAGGACCGTAAGTTCAGCAACGAAAAAATAAGTTGCAAAATTCCTCTCCAGACGTGCACAGTTGCAGTTTATACTATTTCTTAACTGTCGATTTCTGATATATCCGATGCCTGTAGAACAAAAAATGTTCAATTGTTTGGGCCTAAAGTCTAAATAAACTGCGCGCAAAGTGCCCGTTCGGTGTCGTAGATAAAAAAGTTCGATGAAGCCCTGAGTGAAAAATTCACACCTATATTTAATTTTGCTCTGGTCTTTCCTACCTTTATTTTTTATATTTTCAGGGGATTTTTACGGTGAAAAGTTGAAAAGAAATTTATAGCAATCTGATTTCGAAAATATGAAGGCAGCAACTCTCGATTCAATGTCAAATATCTCCAAAAGCTAGATGTTGGATAGATTGTGTTCTGGGTTATAGGAACGAGTTGGGAGTAAATGTTTAGTTCAGGTCCACCAAACCATTCTGAATATTGCATATTTTAATGGATGGATTTTCGTCACTTAATTAAGCATCTGGGCACCCTTTCAGAGGGAAACAATTAGCTTGGAAGATATGAATGTTAATATACCACTGCATTATCTAGGGCGACGACAAGGACGTGGCGGTGTTGCAGGCCCTAAACCCTAAAGACATCTCATGTTGGTATATTTATAGACAATGGACAAACAGAAATATGGATTTCAAATACTCTCACAAGTGATTTATCCGCGCTACCCTTCTGTAGCAATTCAAATTATTGAATATAATATAACTCACTACTTGGGTTAACAACGACAGCAGGGGGGGGATTATTGTTTACCTTGTTTACCTAAGAACCATTTAGCGGGGTGTTTTTTTCACCCCGCTGTCCTTTCTTCCTCTTTTCTTTCGTCCTATTTCTAAATGCAGAGAGGATACCAAAGGATACCAATTTCCTCAGAAAAGATTATTGTTTTTGGTAGACCTAAATCACACATTTATCATTAGTCAAATGGCCCGATGACACCTGACAATTTTAAGGAAATGGATTTTAGAAGAGGAAAAAATACATGTGTGTCCGTAACTGGGAGTATATGTACACCACAGAAACGAGTATTTGAGGCATCTGGCACAAACTGTACAATAGAAAGGCATGCCCGGTAACCCGCACGGGGTTACCGGGTTACGGGCTGTATCGTGTGTACGCATTGACGACACTTCTGAAACAAAATTTATCTATTATTTAGATTGTTGATCTGAAAATGCAGTTTACATCGGTCATGTGTCAATGCAAAAGATCTTTGAGACTTTATTTTACTTGCATCAAAATAGGTCTAAAGACCTTCATGTTCATGAACCTCGAAGATGAAAATTTAACGAAAATCGAAAAAACATGTTGAGAACATTATAGAAAATAATGCACATGAAAAAGCGTTGTTATAATACTTTTCTCAATATAAGGAAGTGGTTTGTGCTTAAATTTGCCTGAGACTAACCAAAGGAGTGAATATTTTATTATTTAGAAATAAGTAAGATGGAGAATAAAAAACCATCGAAGAGATTAAGTTTGTATTGACAAAGTATTTATTTTTGTATGAAAAAGATAGTAAATTTATTCTATGGCCCAAGATAATTAATATTCAATCATCATTCCATTATTTCTTCATTGAGGAAACCAATTTTGGAATGGTTACAAGGCCGCAGACATCATAAAGAATTATTATTGCATGCACAGAGTGGTTCATAATATCATAAACTTGACGCACTTTCCGATTGCATTCTTCGAATTCGGAGTGAGATTCGAAGTTGAAAGCGATCAACCGTAAGATGAATTGGTTTTGATGATTTTCGTCAAAAGCGATATTTCTACAGTGTTGTATCATCGTATTATTAATTTGTATCCATTTTCTTCTACTGTCTGATATTTATTTCTTAACAAAGACGTGAAAAGCTCGATGGTGGACTAGCCACTCTGCCTATACTATTGTCTTGGCCAGACGTACTGTTCTAGTCTTTGCTATCAATCAGCAGAAAAATGATGAGCAGCAAAACATAGAAAACAAAGTTGAACTCCTCGATTATTTTACAAACATGGCTAAAACTAAGGGTAATTATGAGGAACTCTTAAAAACACATCCTTTCAATTTTTACACATACTTATGAATTATCAATTTATTACCATTGCTTAGGTAACTATTAAAAAAAAAACCTTCAAAAATAAATTAAAAATCTTTTCTGAAACCCTTAGTTCAGCACATGTGCGTAAAATAATCCATAAACAGACGAAAAATATGAATATTCGGATAAAAATCAAATTGGGAAAATTTTCATCAACATAATTTCATGTCTTACAACAGAATAGCTAAAGTGTTTTTGTTAACGAAAGGTTCAAACAGTTTTAAAAGCTGATAAAAGAAAAGGTTTTTGTAAATTTCAGACTGATCTCCTTGAATTCCAATTTATATATTGTATCAAATTATTTTCTTCTCCTTGATCAATTATCTCATTTGTTTCCTTCGGTGCTGCGATATGATGAAGATCGATCAAAAAAATGTTGATTTCCCAATTATTTAAAGTGTTCTTTTAGGTGAACCGATGTTACCAAAGTTCCCCGTCTTTTTCTTTAGCCGGGACTTCAATAACTCGAGGCTTATCGATGATTCTAGCAGTACGATTTCCCTTCTCAACGATTCCAATGATCCAAGCCTGGTATCCTTCTTGCTTCTCGATGTCTTTGCAGTAAGCTGCTGCTTGCTCTCGCGGCAAGCAGATTAACAAGCCTCCACTTGTCTCTGCTGAGTGACCCTGGAGCAGCTGGAACATGTTGCCACAGGCCTTTGCCACTGCTGCCATTTTTGCTATTACTGGCAGATTGTGAATCACGAAGGACACTTCGTTCTTTTGGTGTTTTGCCAGATTTTGGGCGTGACCCAAAAGGCCAAACCCAGTGACATCTGTCGCCCCGTGAGCATTGTATTTGTGCATTAGGCGTGCAGCTGAAAAATCCAACAACAATTAACATTCATTTCTTTACAGATCATTCAACGGAAGTTGCCTTTTTTTGTTTTTCCTATATGTTTAGTAGATACCCATCAGGTACTTCATTAGACATCCACTAAAAGTCACTAAACTATGCACTAAATATTTACCCTTCTTATTTTAACTTATTTTAATAAATTATCCTCTTCAAATGACAATTGAGACTGTCAAAAATTTATGTTTTTTCACAAATCTTCTAGGGGCCTATCAAATTCTTCTATATTTCCCGAGGCGGATGTTTAACTTACCCATTCTTTACCCATCATAAACTCATTTTTTTTATTTCTTATTTATACAATCAAGTTTTCGAATAATTAAAAGAGAAATTTTTGTATTCCGATAAATAAATACATGGAAAAAATAATTGATTTAAATTACCTATTCTGTTCAGCCTCGCCATACTGTCCATAGCTCGTTGATATGCCTTTCTAACATCATCCTCACTAACCACAAGTTTAATTCTGTTCCAACGGTCTGGTTGATCTAACCACTGATGGGCATTTACTGCAACCTGAGTCCCCAGAGGTTTTGTGAGAACCAATACGTCACCCACAACTGCATTATCTGGCCTATACGTGTATGAAAATTCCTCCAGTTAATAGCTTATAATTAGTCAAGTTTATAATTTCATTATTTATCTTTCCACTTACATTAATAACAAATTAATCATTGACCTGTAAGAATATAGGCTATATTGAGCCTCAGCTCAAAGCGTGGTGAGCCAACAAGTTTATTTACCTCTCGTATCTATCGTGGGGATGGATACTGAGAGCCTTATCATCAGCTGAGGCTCAGTATAATCTTTTTATGAGCTCAGTATTAATCTGTTGTTAATGAAAGGAGAAAAATAAGTTGGGGAGGCGGGACGACATGTTCCCAGATTTATTATCTATTTTTCCTAGGATATATGTAGGAGAACCTACACTGAGAAATAAATTTTCTTTGGCCAATACCATTTGCTAACTAGAAGAAAATATATTTGGAATTAGTAAGACTTATGGGAGTTTTTCTTTTTTGCACAGGTCATTGCTAGATTTGCTGGTGGTTAGTAAACATTAATGGTTGAAGAAAATTTCTTTCCTAACGTATAGAAGAGCACATGGAGTTCATGTGATCATTACTCATTAGTATAAATATGATAAAAAATCAATGAATAAATGAAAGAAGAAACATAAATTAGTCTTACAGCGCGCTCAAGGGCGTATTCATGCAACTTTTGTATTACGCAGTTTTTTCCAATACTTGCGGTGTATTATAAAACAATATGGAAATAAATTTCAATAGCAAAACATATAGAGTTGAGGAATAAGAAAATATTGTGAATACGTACACGATATATTCATTAGGCTGACAAACTGTCGAGGCAACACCTCCAATAGTGCACCAAGGATTGACAACTGTCTGCCCACCTGTTACTGTAGTGCCTGCTTCCAAAGCGGAGTCTTTGAAGCCACGCATAATAAGTGGTACAACAACATCCCGTTCTTTTTCAGTCATCTTCGTGCTGACACCAAGCAACATGAGCATATTGTCACACTCTGTCACCCCCATCGCGTAAAGATCACTCAACACATTGGCACAAGCAATTTTACCTATTCAAAAAATTAATTATACGGAAATTCTTTAGTTTACTCGAAAATTACTCCATTGAAAACTCATATTACAACACTTTTTCAATCCATTATAACCACATGTTAATTAATTAAATCTAATGGTTAAATTGATTGACCCTGAAAGAAAAGGACCTTCGATGTTATTTTGCTAAATTAATATTTGTAGAAACGAGAAAAATGGTAGAAAGCTGGGAAAAATTCAAAAATAATAATATATTTCGGGTCTGATATTCGTCGAGCGGTTGGTAATGACTTAGTAGATTTACAGCAGAGATTATACCTCGGACCCACACTAAATTGACCGGAAAACTTGTGTTTCCGATCAGTAATTACCCAAATAAGTTGTTGTTCCCATTTCTATCTAATTTTCTATTATTCTTGTCTTGCTATAAAAAGGACAAACATCGAGACTATCGATATCTCTAAAGTCTGGTACACTTATTTCTCTTTCTTTAAATTACATGATAAAACATGTCATGTCATGGTATGATATATTTGCAATATATTTATATTGCTAATGCATGGTGAAATTTATTATTCTGACTCATATAATATAATCGGTTATTAATTCCATAACAAACGATAATGAATAATAAATAATGGTGAAATTCAATGTTATTTCTTGGAAAAAATCAAGAAGGGCTGCAAAAAAAAATGATGATTTATTGCCACAGAAAGTTGGAAAGAGTGGAAATATGTAAAAAGTAATTATAAATGAATAAATTATAAAAAATGAGTATAAAATATGAGAATAAATGTCACTTTGCCATCTTCTTTGTCTAAATAGTCAGAATGTGTAGTCATTACATTAAAAAAATCATAATTCACAAATTATGAAAAATTTAATGAAAATAATTTAATGGCTTTTCTAATTCTCCATTTTACAAGAGGTTCTAACTACAATGAATGACATTCATGATAGAGTTGTGGATTTTTCTTACCCATCATATAAGGATCATCGACTAGAGGATAAAAGAAATCAGTTGTCTGTACCAAGCTAAGCCCACCATGTCGCAATGGCGTTACGGAGGAGTCCATACCAATACCTAAAATCCATCAAAATGACAATCTATGAAGTTAAAAGGGTAATTTCAATTTAAATGTAGGATAGATAATGGATTTCTAAAAGAGATGTTGAGAACCCCTAGGCGGGAGCCGTTGTGGCGGCCATGTGCTTTAAGGCCCGTCTCTACAAACCATTGTGCCCTCTTTTAAAACATCCATTCATATTCTTTCGTTACAAATTACAAAATCTTACATGTTATATCCGCTTGGAGAGGTTCTTGATAATTATATAGTTATTTTACCAGTGATTCACAATGAATGAATCCAAAATCATAGTTAAAGCAATAAATGCATATAAAAAAAATGAATATTTAAAAATATTTGTTTATGAAACAGTATCAAGAGCCCAGGTGGGCAATTCTTTTCTAACTCTTAAAAAAAAAAACCAATAATGAATTGAAAGGAAATCTTACCAATTCTAGGAATGGCCATATGCATAAAATGGGCATGCTCATGATCCTGTGCACTACCATCATCAGCCTGTAGTCCCTCAAGGAGTTTACCAAGTACCTCCTGAGGGACCTTACACCCTCATCCTTTCAAATCAGCAAAACGCGTCAGACGGAAAGTAACATCAAGATCATGTGCAACTGGATCAAAAGGCCTGCGTAACGCCAATGCGTTTGGATTATTTCCCAACTCGAGTTGTCCAACGGACAGGGCGTCTTGACTCACTGGTGCTCCCTGTAGATCCGCCATTTTATACCCTCAACAAAATTATATCTGCAATATTGTTCATTCCGTCAATTTAACATTTTTCATTAATTCTTCAAATTATCAATCTTATTTTTATTTTCGTTTCATTAAAACTTTGAGCTTTTAATTAATTGAGCGAGAATTGCAGCGAAATTACTGTTTTTTTGTTATTTTTTTGTTGTTTTTTTCATTGCCTCCGCCACTGTTGGGTTCTCACCTCGGATTATTAATGTTCTGCCTGGATATAATGAGGATACGTAGTTATCCACAAACGGTGAGCCACTGCCCCGAAGAAATAACGACACCGGCGTCGACAGTCCGGGCTCTAGGACCTCTACGATATATAGCCGCAAAATGGCCGTTGGCTAACATGAACAAGATAAACTCAACTAGAACTTCCCTTTTCGCTCTTTTTGGGACTCCATGCGCTCCATACACTCTCCATGCGTTCCATGCGCTCCATGCCAAATTGCCAACTGTAATAATCACTTCGCTCACCAGATAATGTCAAATATGAAAATTCAATTCTAGTCCAAAATCAAATTTATCGATCAAAAATATATATATATATATATTAATAATTTTAAAAATCCGTATCGATTCAGACTCGTTTGATTGACTCATCTCCACATTCCCGCCACGCTCAAAGCGCCTGTTCACTACCTGCCTGCTTTTGCTTCAACTTTCCCAATCTCTGTAGTCTGTATTGTTCAAGTTGGTTATCATATTGCACATCACAAACATTGCATCGCTTTCGAACCTTTCGAGGGAATAAACTTGCTAGATAAATGTTAAACTAGAATATATTTAATAATTGTACATTTGATAGTGAAGTATAGCAATGACTCCCCCAATGGAACGAATACAAACTTTGGAAGCCATCGAGAAGGATATTATCGTGTGTTTACAGAGTGCGGGTAGGTTATAATCTGCCATAGAAAACTAAGAGAAAATGGCACGGGAATTTCTTGATTTTCTTCGAAATAAATCCAAACCCAAAAAATTATGATAACGAGAATTTTACTGTTGAATTAAATTAAACTCAATGCTCAATGCTAGCTATACAAATGTTAATTTGTTGTTAATTACTATTCTCATTACAATTGTAATGCAGGACAGGCATTCATGGAACTCAGCAAGGAAAAATCAAGTTTAAAGCAAGCAGAGGGACAAACAAATCAGTTCATCAAAACTTTGGGCCATGTAGAATCTAAATTGAGTGAACAGATAAACTATTTAACTCAAGTTTCAACAGGTAAAATGAGAAAAAAAGTTCTATCAATAGCTTCACTTGTTCACTTATTACTGATTAACAAATTACCATTGACTCCAGGACAACCACATGAGGGATCTGGTTACGCCAGTCAAAAAGTATTGCAAATGGCATGGCACCGGTTGGAACATGCACGTAGTAGGGTCAATGAACTTGAACGTATTAAAAACAAACATCTACATGGAAGATCAACCGTCAGACCAATGCAGCCACAGATAGCCGCATCAACTACACTAATCCAGACAAATTCAGCAAATCAATGAACCTTGTGATCAACCCTTTTTAGGGTTGATCAAAGACTTTTCAATTAACTCTTATTTAACCTATTAAAATAATAAGTCAATCGTTTTAAGCTGCCATTTAATTATTCTCCAAACATTCGGTGGGCTTTTGGATAGTGCAAATGCGGAAGAAAACCTTCTATTGCAGCCAATAAAATGCATTATGTGCAAAGATTATCGTCAAGCTCCACTTATTTGCAAAATTAATGACATCGTTGCCAATGTATTTGGGAGGGCGATTTTAGGGAAATATACTAAATTCTTACTGTACAAGAAACTTTTGACAATGAACAATGAAAACCATATCTTGGCAAAATATTACACTTTTCCGATCGATTCAAATTGATAGTAAAATTGGAGACGGAGAATTAGATGTTACCGAAACCGAAGAAATCAAACCAATTCTCACACCGTTCTATACAGAATAAGTGATTCTGACTCATGGGCGTTATAATCCTCGTCTCCGACTCGGACCATAAAGTCGCATTCGTCAGATTCCCTTTTTCCGTCCTAGGCGTGAAATATACTATTTCATTAACGAGGGTGGAATTTTTCCCCACTTTTCCATTTAGCACTAGAAGTCTTATAATTGAAATTCGCTTTTAGTTACTTGGAGGCTGTCTATGCATGGTCTAAATCAATTCTCGCTTTGATTTAAAGTCAATCGAGATGCGAATTTGTGAATGATAAATATTATACTCTGGAGTGAATTCATTGATGTAGTTTATTCAATTCTGTGTACAATTGGGATAACAAATTGTTGTCTGTTGTCTAGTTGTCTACGTTACTCTTGTATCTCATTGTAAATGCAAATTTTCGTATAATTTTCCAAGTCAATAGGTTTGCGTTTCTATTGTCATTTTTGCAGAGATCAGAGTCGGTGTGTTATGTTGAAAAAAATAGTAATATACTTCCGACTGAAATTGTTGATGAGCATATCTAGTTCTTCGTTTATCAACATATTATAGCATCCAGAAGATATAGTGTCTTTTACAATTATATAAGAAAAAGTCGTAAATGAGAGAAAGAAACGGCCTCAAATTATTTATCTTCCTTCTTTGACTTCATATTTAGTGAATTTTCAGAGTAGTTTTGAAAGACAAGTGTAGCAATAATTAACAATCAATGATTCTCAAGATTCTCTTAAAGGGCGTTCAGTGTAAGAAACTAAACTCTCAATTCCGGGGACCCTTTGCTTGATTGTTTCAGCAAGCAAAAGTCTTAATTGTTTCTCCTCGTTTAGTTGTTTTGTAAGCTGAATCATCTGCGTTCGAAGATTCTCCATTTGGCTTTTCAAAGTTTCAAGGGCTTCCGGCACAGTCCTGCATTCATGAAAATATTCAATTAAATGGTTAAGCCCCATTAAAGTTTGATAAACTATAGTGTCTTAATTTCGTTATTAACTTGAGAATTGCACACAAATCAAACATTTACATAAGTATCAAACCAACATACCTCTCGTTAAAGGAGTCCATGTGCCTACTACACATTAAAGATAGTGTAGGCTTATTAGGTGATTCATCGAAATAGTCTGAAAAGTTATGTACTCACGATTAATCTCTTCTTCTTTTGTGCTGAAAAGGAGCCTGCAACCATTTTATGTTTCCCCAGTATCTAATTCTGAAGTCAGAGCCGGAATAACGACATGCCATGCACACAAGCAGATATCAAACTCTACTTTCAATAGATAATAAACTTAATAATTTATTTATTTACCAGGATGCATTGTGAATCTGTTGACAATCATACAGTAACCCTCAATGACTTTCAGGATAATAGCATCATCTTCAAATGTCCGCTCGTCTGTAATTGAAAATAACGTTGAGTCGCTCAATGTTAATATTTTATTTACCACGACGAACCTTAACGTACTTTTTTCTAATTGACAAAATAGTTAAGTTAAAATAGTTAATAGTTACTTGTATTTCGTGGAGATTGACAACCATTCACTATGTCAGACTTGTTTTGGTTCTTGGTTGAATACATTGGCGGTGCAGGTCGTAGTGAGGCGAGATTCCACCAACATTTAATCTCTGCTAAAGGATGATGATCCTGGAGATTCTGCTGATGTTTTACATTCGATGGAGTGTTTATCTAGAAATCGTAACCCAAGGACTAATAAGTAATCACACTCTAACAAAGATTTATACGCCATACGTAAAACAATTTGCCATTACTTAGAATTATATATAATAAATATAATTTCTTTGAATTTTATTGCAAATCATTGCAAAATGTTTCAATTTTTTAAATTTATTTATTGTCATTTCCATTCGGCTGAACCATACAGAAGCTAATTTGTCAATTATTAAGAAAATGCGATGCTCCATCATAATGAAGATAAAAATGAAAGAAAAACGTTTATCCGATAATGGACATCAGTTGTAATCGTTGAGTCTACATATATTATCATTAAAATCATAAAAACTACTGAAAATTTAAAAATAGGTATGAATAGGTAGAGTAATGCAATATGAAATGTAAATATTAATCTATTATCATGACTAGTCAATAATGTATTAAGGCACGAAATTGATTTTGAAGATTCTCGTAAAGAAAGTAAAAAATCATTATTTTATAACACTGATGAGTATCTTTGTTAGTACTCAAACAAAAACAAACATAGCAAAAAGCATAACTTCTCACAACATGGCTGTAGGCTAGAAGCAGAAGCAAAAAAACTCTCTCTATCTCCACTATCATCATTCGACTATTAGTAATGCGACATCTGACAGTTATGAAATCGTTAAGAAATCGCATGATAACGGATGATAAGTGAATATGAAAATATGAAAATGATTTTCTATGAAATTTAAAAAGTAGACAACCAAAACAGCCATGCCATGGAAGCTTGCCTTGTTCCCTCGTTTCTGAAGAGGAAATCGGTATAGTTTTCTTAAGCCACCAGTGAGCATAGAGTCCGGACTTATAAACTGGTGCAGCCTCAACTTCACCGAGCGGAATGCCATCTGGACAACGATGAATCCGTCCAAGTTCTTTTGAAATGTTTTGATGCTCCAGAGGAATTGGAGCAGTGAAACGGTTTTTATCCGATTCTTTAACTGATGAAATATTTATTTCATTCGTGCTTTCATCTTTATGAATAGTTTTATCAATTGTGGAAAAATCACTATTATCTTGTTGTTGACTCTTACCGGCAGATTCAATATTCTTCTCTCCATCTTTGATATTATCATGAGCAGCTTTACTCATTGGCGTATAAATAGTAAAAATATTGTTGGGACTTTCTATTGACTGGTGACTCTGTCTAGGAGTCGAGCCAAAAGGCGAAGTACAGATACACTGATGCTCAAATTTATTCTCATCATTTTCGCTTTCGCTGTGTGATATTTGTGTACGTTGAGCGCATTTATTTCTTCCAGTTGAATAACATTTGTAATATAACTCTGATGATGTTATGTGGCAACTGTCAGCCATACCTGAATCTGATGAATGCATACTCGTCATCGGCAATAAGAGAGTCTCCAATCTCCTCTCATCGATGGCCCCACCGTTGTCATTAATTGAAGTGAGTTTTAACGGGATGTGTGCTATATGAATGAAATCTGAGCTTCTGCTCGTAATGTCAGAGAAAATTGGCGGCTTAAAGGATTTCCAATTGTTTAATGATAATTGTTCGGATTGAGTGAGGCTGTCTTGATCGACAAGTTTATTAGATGAAGGTGGAAGAATTGTGGCAAGAATAACGTTCCTAGACAATAAGTGTTGAACATTTGTCATTTGAGTGATGGAATATAATTGTCCAGGTAAACTTTGACAGTTGTGAAAAGTCGGGGACTTGAAAATACTCGAATGGAAATTGTCAGGAGATGAGGATGCGCCTTGGAGTGGTAGACCTGCGGAACGTGTACTGACGTCCTTTCTAGTTGCATACCTCACGTCTAACATCAATGACGATTTTAATTTGACTCTTTGCTTCACCTCTGGCATATCGAGCGTATTAAAGTTATCATCCTCGGAGTCATCACTTTGTCTTGGATATATCATATATGTAACTGTACATTTTCGCATTTTGACATTATTGAGATCAGGCTTGTTGACGTATTGATAATAGAGTAGCTTCTTAACAAGTTCCGAGTGAATTATTTTGTTTCGCACCAGTTTAGCATAAAATCTTGATAATCGAGAGTAAGGGTGGGATCTACAACTCACATGTGATATTGTTGGCGAATGGAAAAAGCCCGAAGGAGACTGATCCTGGCTCAATAAGTTGACCCACTGCTGGCGCTCTTCTCGGTTATTACAAAGCACTGTGATACTCTCAATGAAAGGACCCGAAATTTCGAAGGCAATTTTTGAATCCTCCGTTTCTTCGATTAAGGTGATATCGATACCAGTTAGAGGAAGTTTTCCCTAAGAAATAAACATTGTATTAAGTTTATTTTTCAGAAAATTTTCAAACAACGAGTAAGTGGAATTTTTCAAGGGAATGCTCATGTGGAGTGTCGAGTGGAGATGGTCACACCTAGATAAAAGCAAATAAGTAATTATACCTCGTAGATGAAAGAACTCATACGAGAGCTTGTACTGAGTACTAGGAGAGTCATAGGAAAAAGTACGAAGTATCTGTCACGTCGTTCAGTGCCCACGGCTATTGTCACAGCTCCAACGTGTAATATTTCACCAAGGGCATTCAGTTCCTCTCCTTCCCAACCTTTTATTCCGCTGGTGAAAATCTGAAGAGCTAATTCCCTTTGTTTGCGGATATAGTTGCATTGTTCCTGTGAAAAAGAATAAATAATATAAATGGTTCCATAGTTTTTGAGGCGTAACATGAATTTTCGTTTGGTCACCCGGCAGACTGAATAATATCCCCAAAATTAAATACTCATTTGATTAGAAGGTGACAATTTTAGGGAGATAGATGAAGAGATTTGAATAATTTTAATTAAATACTTGAATCTCTTGTTTATCTCTGTTGACAGACATTTCAATATATAATATATAGAAGAGTATCAAAAATCGCTCAAGACTTTTAACAATTATTACAACTTACTGCTATTTCTCTATAAACGCTGATACTCCTTTGTGTATCACCTCGATCAAAGTGATTGTTCTCTGTATGCCTTTCCAATTCCTGAAGTATTGCACCATATTTATCCAACCTCCTAAATGGTTTACTGAGTCCTGTAGTCAAGACAAGGATCCCTGGGGTGACAGCCCCAGTTTGCTCCATAAAATCATTGAGTTCATCTCGGTAACGATCCATAATGCAGACCGCCTGAGGGTGGCCACTGCAATACTTCAAATGAACTGATTGCAGTCTTGGGGCTAAAGTAAGAAATAAATTTCCGACTCTAGCATCGGGTCCTTGCGTTGCTATTGCCTCTAGATTTAATAGCAAACACTCATGAACTTCTACAATGTCATCAATGTTTCCTATTAATTGTTTGAACTCTTCCTTTGTCAATCTGAAACCCATTGACCATTTATTAGACGATAATAGATTTTGAAAAATTTCAATGCCGCTCAAGTACCGACTTACAGATGAGTCTTCTCCAACGGTTGGAGGAAATTATTAACGATACCCTGGATTTCCGTGACATTGGCTCTTTCTGAATCCACGAAATCTTGCAGTACAATTTCCCTATTCACTCGTGAATGAATAACTGGAAGCTCTGCATTTGATTTCTCCGGCGATGACATTCCGGAAGAATGTCCAGGATCTGCATGGATTTCCCAATTAATTCAAGCCAATTAACTAATTACAAATTCCAAAGAGTACACAGACATGACAGAAAAATATAACAATTTATTTTCACTTCTCCTAAAATCGAAACAGCAAAAAAAAATTATAAAAATATTGAACTTTGAAACTTAATTTAAGAAATTAAAGATTTCTAAGAAAATTCTTCATTAAAGAAATTATGCTCAGTGAAAAATGTAAGAAAGAATAATCCGCATACATCGATAAAACTCTGACAAGTAATGAGTGATGATGTTATGTGACTGAAGTGCACTTTAATTGATTTAGTGGACAGTTAGATTGCGGAGATAAACAGTCTAGACTCTACATTTATATTGTATATAAAATAAATCTTAGAATAAAGTGTTGAAATAAATTCAAGGGATGTAAATTGCGGATTTAAGGGATTAACCGTCATTACACTATCGTTGTCGTTAATTTACATTGCTCACCCCTATTTTAACACTATTTTAGGAAAAAATTGAAACGCAAAAGATTGAAGTAATGGCATTCTTTAACCATTTGTAATCAAGGGGTTGCAATTAGAGGGGAGGGATTATTTGCTACATATATATTAATAAACAATGTCTATCGAAATGTCTGCGTTAAATATTGAGCGATTATATGTGCACGAAATAATTTTGACAGATATTGAATATATGTATATAAAGTTACCAGGTGCTCGACACTCCTTGACATAGTTGGAAGGGAACCAGGCGGTCTTGTCATTCAAGGTACCTTCCCACCATCCTCCATCATCGGTTTGTGTTATCGTTATAACATCCCCCTTCCTAAAACACAACTATTTCGATAACCATAAATACCTATACATAGTTGAATAGAGAATAACAATTCACCTGATACTTGTGAAAAAAGTTTACCTCGTCGTTGTTACTTCCTTTGAATGTAAATAGAGCTGTCACTAATTTTGGAGCGTCTGGCTTTGACATTGCGCCGGCACTAAACTATCTAAATAAGAATCCCAAGAAACACCAGAGAAGAGAGTGCTCAATAGGAGAATTGATTAACCTTGTTATCCAAGCAATTCTAACATAAACTCTCCAAAGTATAAATAAAACAGCTCCTTTCAAGCGTGAACAATTCACAAGTTGTATCGAATGAACTGGTTTATCGTGCATTCACCAAAAATCTCATCAGTTCACATTTTTCCGATTGTTATTAATAAACTAGCCGTAGTGACCGTTTTTGGAAAGTTCTATATGCACGTATATACATGCAGCTGTAAGCAAGTGAGAAGAGTATAATTTTTGTTTCGAGTTCTCAGCTGGCACTGGCCTCAAATTTGCCTCATTGGTTAACGTACAAAAGCTATATACATATTATATATATATATATATATATAATACCGAGAGCATAAGCCACAGAATTGAAATAAGGCGCCACCTCTCATCAATATGTCATAAATAGTTTTTAAAATAGCGCAGGCATATAAAAAAAAGAATTTTCTCTGTTTTTGCATGAGTAAAGAGAAAATGATGTAAGAATTATTAATAAATAGGTGGTAGACACCGAATGCAATGGAATGAAAAAATAATGAAAAGGGTTCTTACATATTGGAGATTTTCGAGTATTGGATTTGATAAAGGAGTAATTGTAAGACTTCCGGTTCAACTTGGACAAGCCATGTGGTGCATGTGGTTATATTCCAGGCGCAGCCATCATTGCGGTAGTTGGTACAGTTCACAAGGATTTTTCCTTAAAATTTTGTGCTGTGATTTCAACTTATATTAATTCTGACAAACCGACAAATTTACATGCATAAAACTGGTTAATATCCCATTATAGAGAAACATTAAGAGCATTACGATCTGATCCAAGTGAAAATAATGGCAGATCTCGATGATTTTTTTGCCAAGAAGGATCGTAAGAAAGCGAAAGGTAAAAAATTTACAACTACTGAAGAAATAGCGAAAAAACTCGAGGAAACTGGAAAGAAATCCAAAACTAAGGAAAAACTAGTTGCTCCTGATGAAGATGACAGAGCGCCTCCAAAAATCGAGGTAATTTAATTATCATATAGTGAAGGATCTCTATAATATTTTGTTCGTATGAGATGATGGTCTGACACTAGCAACAAGGCTAAAGCTAATCAAGGCTTTCAATACTCATCTAAAGTAGAGCCAATTACTCTCTGTTGCCTTTATCGATCTTACTCCCCAACCTCAATTTTTCCTACACTCATGCTCCTGATGATGTCTGGATCTTCTGCATCCGCTTGGACTATCGGCCAAACCTTTACCAAATAAAAATGCCAAATTCTCCCACAATGTGACGTCTCCATTTACTTTAAATAAAAAGATAAAAATCTCTCACTAGCATTACGTATCTGAAGGGACATCATTTCCATGATAACATACAGTATACGCTTTTTCGCAATGCTGTTACATAATTAACGGAATTAAAAGATAGGAAAATGTTGGAAAATCTTGAGAACAGTCAAAAATAAGGGATTTAATGTTTAAGAGAATTTTTGAATGATAATTAATGGTTTTTAACTTTTTTTTTTGTTTTTCACTCGGCAATTTAGGAAGAAGAAGAATGGCGTGAATTTGAAGAGGAAAAAAAAGACTACTCTGGTCTGAAAATAGGAAATCTAACAGTTAGTGAGAATCAGGACCATGAGAGTAACGATGAAAGAGGCGTAGGTGAAAACAGCTCGGATGGTGAGAGCGGTGAAGCAAGTGCAAAATTGAGTGGGCCGTGGAAGAAGGCTGATGCAGTGGTTGAGTCACTTGAACCTACACCTCGTCCAACAGCCACTGCTGCCACTAGTCTCGCTGCTACAGGAAAATACAAAACACCACATTTGAGACATCAGACATCATCATCATCATCTTCTAGTACACGTTCAAGTAGAATGAAAAATATTGCTCCTGACATTCGTAGTGAAGAGTATTTCCCAACTCTTAGTGCTAAGCAACCAGCTCCTCTTGAAACTGGCGCTTGGGGAAGGCGGTAAAATATTTTTCTTACTAATTACTCCGTATTACTACTAATTATAGTTATTCAATTTTCCTTACCAATTAATAGAAAGTTTATAATGTTAACGTGGTTAATTCTATTTATCAATGCTTTTTGCCATTTAACGATCAATTTCAAGATCAATCAATAAATTATTAGTTGACTTTTCTTTTGAAAATTAAATAAAAATTACAATGAATAAGAAAGACGAGGAAGAAGGTATCTCTTATATATTCTCCCAAGTCATTCAACCTATACAATTGCCCTGAGTATCTTTCATAACATCAAAAAGAGCGGCTCCTTTAAAATATATATTTTGTACAAAGAATGAACCTTCCTATATCATAGAAATATCATAACCAAATGTATAAAACTGCAGACGTAAAGCAAGATGTAATTTTTCTTTTTTTTTTCAAATCGTGAGCGAAGTAAGAAATCAAGTCAAATATTTTCTTTCGATTTAAAAATTTTTCAACTGTTGAATACAAAAATTCAGATGAAAATACGTGTTTTATTTAAATTTTTTTCCTCAGTATAGTTGTATTGAACATTTCATCTAGAAAAAGTGATTTAATAGCCGAGATATTCATTGGATTGAAATGTTTAGGAAGCGAGACGAAGGATCATTTGAAGAAGTTCGTAATCGAGGTGGCACCCGAAACTACGCAGTTCCAGAAGGCCAAAATGAAGCGCCTAAACTTTCATTGGACAATAAATATGGTGCATTGTCGCAAGATCAGAGCTGAAACTTTCAGAATCCGTATGATGGAATTATCATCTTCGATTCCTCATCACTTCGCACCGTTTCGTAGCCCAGTCAGTAGGTGAAAAAGCAACGAAACACTAAGAAAAAAGTCAAAACCCAGTTGACGTCAGAAAATGAAAATTTTCTCTGTTAACCTCTCCCGTAGGGGATTAATGCATGCTAATATCTCATGCGAACGTAGATAATTAGTTGCACAATTGGTCATTTCCAAAACTATTAAACGAAATTCAATCACATAAATAATATGAAAAAGAGAAATACATTGATTTCAATGGCATATCGATTTTTAAAATTTCATTCATTCGTTTTCGTCTGTCGACGCCTTCAAATCCTATGTAGCGTAAGCTGTTACTGCTTAAGAAAAATCCCGATCGTGAGGGGTTAATTTATTAAAAATTTCAACGCCGATGGGGAATCTAAAAAAAAAATCTATAAATAAGGAATTGACACTTTATTCAGTTCAGTTGATGAAATGAGACCATTTGAAACTGAATAGGAAAAAATTTTTTAGCTCAAATATATGAGAAAAAAAAATTGAATGAAAAAATAAAATGAATAATTCTAAATGAATTATTCTAGATATATATGACATAGCAAAACGAACGAAGTGTCACCGAGGCTGGGCTTCGGGACAATAGTGCGGCAAAATAGGTGCGATTGTTGATAAAGTAATCAGAAGATAAACATCAATTAGGACAAAGTACATACATTCGTTGGTTATTTCGGAGAGACATCATCCTACTACACTGAGACTAATGTAAAAAAGAGAAGGACTCTGTTTATTTTTTTCCTACTTTTTATTCAATTATTTTCTTGTTTTTTTTTAAATCATTTTAACAAGATAATGTTCAAGAGGGATTAAATTTTTCTCATTTTTGCATGAAATCGGGCATGATTTATTTAGGGAAAGAACCACAAATGTCAGCAAGACTTGAAACGTTCTAAACTATTCATCTTGTCTGCAGAATTTTCGTGTACTTCATTGATTATTTTTTTCTTATTGATAATGAAAAATAGAGAAACATGAATTCATTAATTTGGATATGTACATATTGCAATATTGTCCTCGTTAATCCTCTGCAGTGATGTTTTTTTTTCATTGAACATACTTGATTTTGGTTAATTGGCAAGGAAAAAATATAAGCGATCATTGAATTCTAATATTTTTCGTGTGTTCAGTGAGTTCTGCGGCTGCTTTTTCCGGCAGAAATGATGAAAAATTCATTACTTAAAGTCTGGAAATTTTTCGCGATGCTAGCATAATACGTGAGAGGAAAAGGAAATGGAAAATAAATCATACTCAAAATGATATCCGATAAATTAATCAAGAAATTATTCAATTGTCCCAATCCCGTATTTTATCACTTCTTCTTCTTCTTCTTCTTCCACATTGTCACTGAATATCCCTTTTTTTTTAACATTTCAATTTTCACATTGACAATTCAACAACATGTCATGGGCCCATTTCGGATTGATTACTTATAGTATCAATGGATCACGTTTCGAAATAAAATATTGTTTTTAACTGTTAATTTAACAAACATTTTGGAATCTTCTTTTATTTAGCCCTTTTGGAATAAAATTATTTATAAAGATGATAATTTTGCGAGAAAATGTCATAATTATGTAAATGTATGATAGGGTTAAAAAAAGTGTTAATCACATGAGCCATCTAACCAACCATCTTTCCACCGTTCATTCACGAGTTTGCAATCAAAAATAGGTTTGCCCAATTTTTTGTTCACTTCATTATGAATCATGCAGAGCCATAAACTCAAATCACTCTGGGATCTGGTTTGTGGTGGTGTAATTTCCAATTGCTTTCTCAAATCCTCTGCACATGTGCTACACGGGTAAAATTTGGAAAATACATGGAAAAATATTCTCATGTCGTCACTCTGCTCGCGGGTAGGTTTTTCAGGAAAGTAAGCCGCCATGGTATGGAGGAAGGACCACGTAGCTGAACCCAACTCATCCTTATCCAATGGACAATTTAAATTTTTACGTTCTTCAATTGCTAGTGCAGCGCCGTTATCCGTTGATTTCTTCTCATCATCTTTATTTTGCTGAAATCCATAAAACACAACTATAAATTAAACAATCACTATAACACCGAGCATATAAAACTATTTATTTGTTATAAACGAAGCAAACACCATAAACGTTAAGGAATTCTTTTTTTTTAACATAAACATTTATATACAGTGTATCGATCAGATAAATATATTCATTTCATTATCAAAAAATAATCATTTGCCATTAACTCATTTATTTAAATATATTGAAAAGGCGGGTTATTTCCTTAGCCCTTAACCCTTAATATAAATAATCAAAGAAATAAAGGAGTTATAGCAATCGCTATTGGGATTTAGATTGAACCATGATTTCAATATTATAAGATGCGTCAATCGAAATCAAAGCCAAAATTTAAAGATCTATTAGTACTTGTATCGATTTTTAATTCATAATATTTTAGAAAATGTGTTTACTTTTGGAAAGATAGACATTACACTTTATAATGCTTGAAAAAAATAAGAAAAAAATATTGATACACTTACAAAGCGAAGTGTTTAGCTTTCACTTACTAAGCAGTTGCAAATAATTTAAATTGTTGTAATAATTGATTTGATTGATTAATCCGGGTGTACATGTGAGTGTTGCGGAGCTGAATGAGTGGAGTGGAGAGAATGAGTATTGTGTTGATGCAACTAAAATAGGCATATATTTAGCGATACGCTTTGTTAAAAATTATGTAGAATTGGTAAATAATAATGAATTTCAATATGATTGGAGTATCATTTTAATAGCTTTATTTAAATTACCTTTTCCGATTCAAATGTCTTCTTCTGTAATCTTGCCCAAGTCTTGAAATCAGTACATGTCCTACAAGGCTTTTCCTCCACCATTGTAATCCTCTAGTTATCACCAATGCACTTGAAAACTATCCAATATTATATTATACATACATCATTGAAGACGTTGATGATTACGAACGTTAATTTGTCCTACGATAAATTCATACATATAATCGATGCATTATTATGTCCATAACCTTGCCACATTTTATAAAATTTACACTATACAGTAGCACTTGAAGAAAAAAGGATAGTGAACCTTGAAATTTTTCAACGGCAATTTCAAATTATAATGCCATTACTTCTAATAATAACACACTATGTCCATGGAAAATTGTAAAAATTTTTCATCATCCACCATCTGCACAATATGTACAGATGAGAGGTTAAATATATATAGGCGATTCTAACCTTTAATAATTAATAGAGTAAATAGAAGATAGAACACGAGTTGGTTACCGTGAAACAATGACTTACTCTACCCTATAGAAAAACCATAATTCTTTAAGAAATAAATATAAGGGTTAAGTGGCTATAATGTTATTAATACGGCTGAACCGTTTAAAGAAATGTTTAAAATTCGTGAGTGTGGTTAAAAGCTTTGATAATAGTCGGCAACTCAGTCAAATGGTTGAGAAACAATTGCCCTACAATTACAGGCGTTACTACTCTACTGAGAAATTTGCATCTGTCAATCCAGAAATCTTTGGCGATATCGGAGGGAATAAATTTGAGGAATCTCCACTTGATTACGATGAAGAAAAACAACAAGATTTTGAAAAAAATGAGGCAGCTGTTGCCCCCAGGCTGAAACTCTCAAAGGGACAATATGCAGATCTCATCAAAGAACATATTACCAAAGGAGATCTAACATCGGCAATGGAAGTACTCGATCTAGTAAAAGAAAATCGAGATCAACCGACTAGATATATGTATACTCTATTGTTGCGGGCGTTCGCAGTTCAAGGAAATTTGAAACGCAGTTGGAAGATCTTGACTGCTATGAAAAAAAGAGCACTCAAGCCCAATTCAGCGGCTTATGTCAGTATCATCAATGCTTGTGCCAATTCGTCAGAACGAACAATTGCTCTGGATTATTTGGAAAGAATCAGAGAAGAAATTCTACTGAAGAACGTGGTGCTAAACGAGGTCCATTACAATGCTCTGGTGAAAGCCTATGGGAGACACAACTGTCTGCTGGAGGCCTTTAAGATTGTTGATGAGATGATTGATAAGAGGTTAACAATTGGCCCCACCACTTTCAATTCTTTACTATACGCTTGCATTTCTGACAAAGAAAATGGCTTGCGTCATGCTTTAGCCGTTTGGCACATGATGCAGAGGTGGAAGAAGAAACCAGATTTGTTAACATATAATCTTTTATTGAGAGCCATCAGAGATACTAAAATGGGAGAGTTGAAAACTAATGATATTTTGTTAAATAATTATGAGGGCTCGAGAATTTTAATCAGCGACTCACTCAATCCCGATTTGTTGTCACATCCTCCAGTCGTCTCCAAAATTAAATTATCCTTTAAACATACTGAGCAACCTGAAATGAGCTCGAGGGCTGCATCTGATGCTGTTGTCGCCATGGAAAACCATGAAGCTCTTGAGAATTTCAATTTGGAAAAGATTCATGAAAAAAATAAGCTCATTTTATTCGGAGGGTTCACTGGATTCATGCAGAGACTTCAAGCCGATGACATTAAACCTGATGTCAAAACCATGACCTTATTATTGGACGTTGTGCCGAATTCATTAGCTATCGAGAATGAGCTCATCAAAACAGCTAGAGCAAACAAGATTCCCTTGGATATTGATTTTTTCAACATGCTCATCAAGAAAAGGAGTTTTAGAAAGGATTATAAGCAGGCCAAGGTGAGAATAAGCAGGGCCTTTAATAAAATTTATTTTAGAGTAGGTCAATCGACAGATTGATACAGTTGGTGTATTTGTATTTTTTCAGCAAGTACTCGATGATATCCAAAGAGAGAATCTCGTACCTGATATGATCACCTGGGGAGTGTTAGCCCTTGGTTGTCACACACTGGAAGAAGCTACAGTTTTTCTTAATGGACTCGAAGCCACTGGTCACAGTTTGAATCCCGTGATCGCTGGATCTCTTCTAGGAAACGCCTGTTGTGCCAATAAAATCAACTACATCCTTGAGATCCTCCGACTCATGACCATACAACGCATTTTTCCCACTAACCACATTTACACTATTCTTGACAAGTACAAGTTTAAAGTTGAAGACGCTCTCAAACGCAACCGATCCTCCAAACTTTACCGAAATGACCAATTTCGAACGAAATTTGAAACCTTCAAAAATCGCTACGAAAAATTTCAACAAAAATTCAGGCGTGAAACGAACCATGAACATATCAGAAAACGAAAGATTCAATCACTCAAAACAATACCATAAATTAGTAAATAATTAAATAATTTTCAATAAAGAGGTCAATGAAATTTGATAAATTTGTGAAAAACATTTATTTCAATATTTACATGGCAGGAATAATATTTCATGCCAAAAAGTTGTACAATAGAATCGAAAAGAAGTAAAAACAATTTGAATATCTTATCTAAGGTAGGGTGGTCGAGGTTCAGCAACCCAAGTACGACACCTGTTGCCGGAAATAACCCCTCTGGGTGGACCTGAGCCTCTAATACTCAATTTGTTATATCCGGTAGGTCCAGTAGGTTGAGCCCCGCAAGTTTCCAAAGCTACAAAATCATCGACATGAAGTGAAGGAGGCCTTGAGGTGTTTGGGGGTCTAGACCTGAAAGGATCGGCGCCCCTGCCCACCGCTCCAGAGGACATCCCTCCCCGGGAGGTGACAAATTGACTCCTTCCCCTCATAGGAGTTACGAACGGCTGCTTAGTCTTGTTAACAATGCAATTGTGTAATCTTTGAATATCCCTTGTAACAACTCTACCCTCCTTGCTCTTTAAACTTTCCATTGATTCTGTCAGTGGAGCCTTTGAACATACAAGTTGAGTTTCAGTTAATAAATTAAAATCCGGAGGTAACAATTCAGCAGCTAGAGATATTAAATCGACTGGAGTTGATTCGTAAGTAATCCGAGGAGCACAATGACGTTTTCTTGATCTGGCTGGTGAGAAATTGGCCAATCTCTTGATTGATCTCTGGGAGAATTGATTCAACAGTGCTTCTGGAGTTGGTAACAGAGGCTCCAACATTTCTGGTATTGGTTCCTTCTCCTCTTTCATCTCCAGCGCCGTTTTCAAATCATTCACCAAATCCTCACTTGTACAAATTTTCTCAAGTGGATGGGGAGTCGATCCATCCTTTTCCCACATAATCAAACTTGCCAATTGAGAGTATCTCAGATATAAAGACCGTTTGCTTGATTTACCACAGGTAATGAGACTTTCCAAGAATGAAACAGTTAACATAGTTAAGCTATGATCGTTATCAGAATTATTAGCTTCCTTTTCCATCAAACATCCTACATGATCTAAAAATACCTTAAGCGCCCCTGGATTATTTTCCAGACAGCTTTTAACGTGATAAAGACCATAGTTATGTTTTGTAAGAGATAGGAGAACACGAAGACTCATTTCCAGAATAATCTTTGAATTTTTTCGCGAATTTCCCAAAATATCAATCAAGGCAGTTAAAATGGTAATTAAGGGCTCTTTGCTGGGGACCGAGTGAGTTAATTTGATCTCGGAGGGCTCAGATGTGTTATCCTGGACTAAAGTCAATGTATCATCGCAAAGAGTATGAAAAACTTGCAAAATTTCATATTGAACATTGATGTCGCTGGTGTTTTTCAATGTGGCACACATCAACTCTACCACTGGTGGATACTTTTGATCGGATTTCACTTGAGCTCGTGATGTTGGACTCATGAGTGTGAGCAGGGTGGCTTTCACTGGGGGATGAAGAGTGAGATCGTTAAGAAGAGCCAGTGTTGGTATGTGATTATCCAATGGTGCCGCTGTAAGAATTCTATCCAATAAGCATCTTCCAACGAGTAAAGCCGTTGGTGCTGCTAAATCACTCAGTTGTTTACATACTGTCGATAGAAGGGTGAGAAGAGGTTCATTCCAAGAGGCACATAGGAGTCTCAGTGTCTCGGCTAGGTTGCCAGCTTGTGCTTGAAGATGAGCAGACCATAGTTTTCTCACTCCCAGAGCTCTTACTATATTCTTCTCATGATTATCAACCTCACGTAAAGTAGGTGGCAAGAGTCTCGCTAAGAGCTTCAATCCTGGCAGGAAGTTGCACGCCCTCGTGGAAATCATCTTCAAAACTTCTCCTAACATTTGCGTCCAAAGAGACTTGGCGATATTTCCAGTGCCGTCCGAGTCCACTGCTTTTGTGAATAATAAAAGGCTTTCTGCTATTTCATCTTGGAGAACTTTCACGAGATGCTCACACTCTGGAATAGCATCGACTAAAGAATAAACTCCAAGAAGTGGAGATACTGGAGTTAAATCCTTGAAATCGCTAGCCATACACTCAACTAATCGCTGTAAAAGCGCTCGAATGAGCCTAACACATGTTGTTAATAGACCAATTAGAGCCAGTCCTCTTCGACCACTTAATGCTGCTCGATGAAGGAATGGCTGTTCGTAGTAATTTGTTAAATTCGATAGAACTGCCACGAGAGATGGTAATCCGTCAGCGGCAAACAACTGAGTCAAAACATTTTTGTGCTTCAACTCCATGTAAGACTCCATTGGATCAATGTCTCCATTAGAAGAGAAGATTAAATGGTAAAGAATTCTACAGGATGTTAGCAATTCTCCGGGAAGCGCCGACGACTTGTCTGTATATTTGCGAATTATTGACACTAGAGAAGAGACATCGTTGTAATTCCAATTGGCGTGCGGAAGAGCAGTATTGAGATAAGAACTTATATCACGAAGAATGACTTGTGTTGTTGAAGCATCTAGAAGAGACGAGGCTCGAGTCTGGAGAATTTCAACATTGTTCGAGTATTTGATGGTCATAGATATTATTTCAGCCGAGAATTCCGATAAATCCCTGTCGGCTAGTAAAGGCATTAAAATATCCATAAATGTCCCTATAGATATCACTGAAATAATGGCATATAAACCTTGGGAGTACCTCAAGAAGGAATAGAGTTTCTTCATTATCATCCAATCGGTTTGATTCGAAGTTTTTGACATTTGTGAGTGTTTTAAATGGGCTAAGCACTGGGTGATTTGAAGACGCCAGGCAATGTCTGCTCCCACTCCTGGCTGGTTATATCTGAGAGCTTTGAGAATGGATTTAGTAACTTCAGTATCCTCTAACAGATATAAAAGACCTTCTCCACTATGCGTCAAGTCAATTAGAAATTTTCTAACAGCTTTTATCAATTCCATCGACGAATCTGGCTTCACTAATGCCAACAATATTAATTTCATTAAACCATGATGACTGAAGTAGACGATCAGGTGCTTCTGAGGATTTCTCTCAATGTCTCTTTCAAACTCAATCTGCATACTCACTGGTAACTGGCGCTTAGGCTGTGCCATTAATGTTGGAGCAGAAGTATAAGCCTGAGTCAACTCAATAGTTTCAATTTCCTTTAGTCCTGTCATTTTTATTTGACAAAGTAGTTCATATACATGAATCTTCCGCAACAAAGAAGTCAGTGCATATTTGAGTCTGGCTAATTTTGCCTCATCCAGCATTATTAGGCTCATTTTATAAAGATTGTTCTCCGACATTAAAAAGTTATCAACAACTTTTGGACTAATGAGAGCTGCATCAAGAGCTCTGATTGCAGCAAGTTTGACAGGGAGGGCAACATTCTCTCTGATGCACAGAGTCAAGAGCTTACGGGGAGCGTCTACTTTTAAAAGTACTTCAGGACCCATTTGAAATGCGCAAATAGCCTCTGCTAATCTCACTCCTACCTTAATATGCCGAACTTTGTACGCAGGCTGAGGTTGGGCTCTTGCTAATTCCATGTCTAAACCTGTATTAACTATTTCCGATAAATCCTCAAGATCCTTTGCCTCTATATCAGATACAGAGTTTAAATATAAGCATAACAATTCACAATTATGAACGAAGCTCTCTTTCTCCTGGCCAGGTGCATTATTCAAATGGACTACAGACTTTGAAAGAACCTTGAGGATGTCTTGGATCTTTTCACCATCCTCTGATTGAAATTTCCGGTAAACATCAAATTTCAGAGGTAGTGGCATGAGATCTAGTAGATCTGGAGGCTCAAGCAGCTGAAATTCTGCAGATATATCTGATTGGTAGTCTGTACTAGATGGAGGGATATCATCGTTCATAAGTTCTTCGTCAGATAGAATGGGCTCAAAGGGTTCCACTGTTTCGGGTTCGGGCTCTTCACACTCTCGTTCTATTTCTTCTTCTTGTTCTTCTTCGTCATCTTGTTCTTCTTCTTCTTCTTCTCCTTGCTCTTCTTCTTCTTGTTCCTGGTGATTTTCCTCTGACTCTTCTTCATCTTCTTCTCCTCCTTCCCGTTGTTGTTGTTGCTGTTGCTGTTGCTGCTGCTGCTGCTGCTGCTGCTGCTGCTGCTGCTGCTGCTGTTGCTGCTGCTGTTGTTGTTGTTGCTGTTGTTGCTGTTGTTGTTGCTGCTGTTGTGCTTCTTCATCTTCCTCTTCAGCTGATATTGATTCTGGACTTAGAGAAACGAGAGAATCTGGTGGGGGAGATGCAGGTTTCTTTGAAATTTTTGAAGAGGATTTCGTTGACTCTTGGCTCCATTTTTGAGAGAGGTCTGGAGGAAGGTCTGCAGACTGTTGAATAATTTCAATAGTTTGGATGGATTGAGGGATGGATAAAGAGGTCGTAGGGGGTAAAGGCTCTGGTTGAGATGATACCTGAGGCTGAACTAAGTTGTTGTCATAGTACCAGTCCGGTTGGAGGATTTCCGAGGTTTCAAGTGTCGTTGGAGTTGGTGGCTCAACTGAAACTGCAACTGGAACTGGAACTGGAACTGGAACTGGAACTGGAACTGGAACTGGAACGGGAACTGGAGCTGGAACTGAAACTGGGGTAGTTGAGGTTGAAGAATGAAGTTCGGAGGGATTAGAAAGAGACTTGGTGAGGGATCCGTAAACAGCTAGGGTTATTGTGGTGTACCAGCCGCGGAGGACAAGCCCATCAGTAGGTATCTGTTTTCTTTCACATTCCAACTGGATATTGACATTCTGCTTGTACTCTAGTCCTCCCAGAGATTCAAAAGTTGATGCTCCAGGCTTGCTAAGGTCATTCACGAAGAATTCAATCTCAAATTGTGAGGGATTTGTAGCTCTGAAATATTATGAAAAATCAATTTTATGTAAAACTTGAAGGAAATCAAAGAGAGGATAAAGACATGAAAGAGACTAATTACCCGAGCCTAACGCCTCCTGGAAAGTCTGCTTGTACTCTTGCACCAAGAGGAATTATTCTAACCTCACTGATGTAAACTGGCTTTGGAAATTGCACCAAATCTAAATTTAATTCCTATTCAATAATATAGGAAAAAAAAAATCAATTAATGCATCATCTATCATAGATTCCAATACGCCAAATATCTACAGTCCATTTACCTCGGAAATATCATGAGAAAATGTATCAAAAAACAACAATTCCGCATTATCCATTATTTTCATATAAAGTCACTGAAATTTATTAATATGCTGTCAATCAAAGAGTAGAACAATCCTTCAGTAATATATTGCTTTCGATCAACATTTTTCACTCACGATCACTTACAGCTAATGACATTTTACAAGTAAACATAGAAAATGTACTAGTGTCGAAAGAGGTTATGTATATTATGTGGAAGGGGTAGATCGGAGCCAATGAAAAGCATTGAAAGCGAAATGTGATACATAGCGGTGACGCCTGAACTAATATCGAACCTCGAGACGTAGCGTTAGTTACTGAATAATGATAATATATCTGTTGCATATATATGATATATCTCTACTACTCATTTCGCCATATTGTACAGCTTGCGTCTTCTTGGACATAAAGAGCGTTGGAAAATCCTGTTAAAAATCACCAACTTCCTATACTTTTTCCTCGCTTATCACCATTATCATCTTCGTCATCCAAAGCCCTCAACCATCCCTTACTCGGATTTCAAAAGCTCCATTCAAAAGCACACCAGCAAGACTAACGGCCAGAACAGCCAACTTAGTCCGCCTAAAAGCCAAGAACTTAAACAAAGAGCGGGAATATTTGAAAAAATTTTATAACGACTGACAACCCCCCTGGTTTCAGATTCTCCAAATCGATCGCCCTCAAATCACCCTAGTCTGAACAATGCGAGCAAATTCATTATGATCTCACTCATAGCTTATATAGGAAAATTAGTATATTATGCAACCTACGGGAGATTTTCTTTTTGCTCTTTTTTTTCGACCGTGGTGCATATGCTATTATATGTCTGAAGGGATAAAGACATGGTATATTCATTATCACAAACTCTACTTCACATCAATAAATAAACTCATATAAATCACATACCGCAATCAATAAGCAAACCTCGATCCTTACATCCTTCCTCAACAATTGTTGTTGTCTTTATCGACAACCACTAGTTATGAAATATCCCCATAGAGGGACAACGGCCGCGCGAGACATTACAGTCCATCAGTGCCAAAAAAATCGAAGAAGAAGGAGAGGATTTCGCCATATATTGTGCTTTCTCCACATAACCTTCTCACAAATATAATAAAATGACAGCTCTCAATCAAATTATAACGCTGTATCAAAATTTGAAACAGGAGTGGACGAAAACACCATGCAATCTGAAAAAATGTGGTGATCTGCTGAATCAGCTAAAGGTATGAAAATGTTACAACAACTCATGAATTTGTGTCAAATTTGTTTGTCATCATCTCGCCATTTTTTGAAATTATTCTTATATTATTATATTATAAAATCTAATGAAATAAAGAATAATTTGGAGGATGGTCAATAATGTTTTATATTAATATTTTGTATTTAGGTGGGCCTTACTCATTTAATGTTTCTGCCAACATCAAGTAGTTCAGCTTCCCAAAAAGAGCTGCTCATTGCACGTAAGTTAATTAAATAACAAATAATTTCTCTTGGATAAGAAAAATGTTATGTTAATTAATAATGTGACATGATTAGGAGACATTCTGGAGATGGGAGCACAATGGAGTATCGCAGCAGAGGATATTCCCTCGTTCGAGCGTTATATGGCTCAACTAAAATGCTATTACTTCGATTACAAATCGGCCCTTCCTGAGTCAGCCTACAAGTATCAACTGTTGGGGCTGAATCTCTTATTCCTCCTTTCACAGAATAGAGTAGCCGAGTTTCACACAGAATTAGAGCTCCTACCTTCTGATCAAATCCAATCAAACGTATACATCAGACATCCGTTGAGTCTTGAGCAGTGCCTCATGGAAGGATCCTATAACAAAATTTTCTTAGCAAAAGGCAATGTACCTGCAGCTTCCTACACTTTTTTCATCGATATTCTCCTCAATACTGTACGCGATGAAATTGGCGCCTGTATGGAGAGTGCATACGACAAAGTATCTCTCAAGGATGCTGCAAGAATGCTCAATCTTAATTCCGAACAGGACACTCTAGCTTTTGCTAATAAAAAACAGTGGAACCTCGCTAAAGATGGCTATTTCTATTTCGGTCCAGCCCATGAGAAGAAGACAGAGGATCCCATCCCATCCGCTGATCTCGTCACCCTCGCTATTGATTACGCCAGGGAACTTGAAATGATTGTCTAATGTCCTCATTAAATTCTCATTTAATTTTTTTTTTTCATTTTTCCTTCGTGTAAGCCTCCAACTTAATAAAATTTATAATAACTTACCACCAATTTCTGGCATTATTCATTCATTATTTCGGAGATATGTACTTTTTGTCGGGATTAAGAGTATTTTCCTAAACCATCAACATTTCCACTTCTGCACCATAATATTACTTATTTGTTTTTTTTTTTTAATAGTAAGTTTCCGAATAGATGGTGATAGAAGACGGTCGAAAAAGAAAAAAAAAAGTAATGCAACTGTAGATATATTTTCTTTGAGATGAACAAATTGATGGCGAGCTTCTGAATGGCTTTTATCATTTTTTTCCCGTTCAGACCAAAAATTTCCTATTCACACACAGACATTTTCAAAGAATGCTCTATTTTTACAGTTCAAACCATTCACCATAGAATTTTTGGACGATTACAATTACATTCGGAAACGAAACCAAAAAAATATTGAACGAATTAGCTTTTTATGATTCATTATGAACCGTTATAATTATATCAGAAGTATTTTTTCACCAAAAATTCAAGTTCATATTGTCATTCTTGTACTTGCTAGAGACTGACGAATGATTGCGACGTCAAAATAGAAAAAATTGATACATCTCAAAGAATTTATATAGATGTGTAGTAATTGTTCGATTGATTGAAATAGAGGACACTTGGTGTCGTCGAAGAGGTTGAAAGGACAAAACATGACATCCATTCGATATTTATTTGAGATTTTCCATAAAAATGGTTAAAAAATGTATTTAGATGAACTTTGGCTTGATTTCCGAGGAAATGGAAAAATTGAGCGATTGAGCGAAATAAAATGCACATGAAAACTGGGCTGCAGTGGCCGTCCATCTATATATATATACATATATAGATATGTAATGTAATGGGTGGACCAGGCAGGACACGAGGGGGATTGGTGGGGCCCGTGTCAAATCTCGTGAAAATCAAACATGGCGTCAGCTAGGTTATCACCGTGAAGTGATGGTGTTGGACATTGAATAATCATTGATTATCTCAAATTTATGTGGATTATTATCATCAGCGATTGTCTAACGTCAAGTGTTGCGTCCCCCAAAAGACATCATCATATTGAATAACCAATAATCCCAACAGGCTCACCTCCAACTCCCGGTGATCGGCGTGCAAACGCCATCGTAAACAGTGGTTTTACTCGAGCATTCACTAGTTCCATTTTTTTTTCTCTTTATTAATTCTTCAACTTTTTCTTCAACTGACTCCTTAACTTGCAAAGTATATAAAAGACAGGGAGGGTGTGTTGCTCGAAAATATGGATATTGTTTAAACATTGGAGAGGTGGAGTTTATTTGGCTTGAATGGGTTGAAAGGGTGGTTGATTGTTGATGTGTGGATGTGGAGTGAGGGTTGAGATTGTTTCCTCGTGGAAGGAAGGGTTCGAGCAAGTTATTGTAAGAGGCTACCGGTTTGTCGATAATTCATATTGTCATAGATACACGGAGACTTTGACTTTTGACAAATAGTGTGGAGTTTAGTGTACTTTAAAGATACTTTTTAATGTGATGTGTTTTTTTTTATTGTCTTATTATTGTCGAAGTTAAGTGATTGGTGGAATTTTGAGAGGTTTTGTTTTAGACGGTTAATGAAAAATATGAATATGAAAAATGTCATGTCAAGATTTGTAAAATTTTCATTAGAATAATTAATTGGCGTGATAGTAGGAGCCCAGTATTGCTGAGGATGGAGGTGAAGGTGGCTTTTAAATGACTTTTTAAAAAAAGGTTTGGTGAGTTTATAATAAAAATAAAAATAGAAAGAGTAAGAGGAAGAGGAAGAGGAAGAGGAAGAGGAAGAAAGATGATGAGAGTGAAGATGGTAGAGTTATAATAATAAAATAGATAAGTTGAGGTTGAAGGAAAGTTGAAAGAAATCTAGAGGGAATAGGAGGATCATAAGTTAGGCTGTTATAGAAGTGTCAGACATATGCCGCCAGCCGGGCTATCGGCTAAAGGCTTGTCTACCTTGATGGACCACGGACAACCAGATGCTCGTCATCGGAGCGAGCGGTTTCTTCTCCATCCCGAGAATGGCGCCTCAAAGCCAAATACACCGAGTACAGCTGCATCTTCACCCAGATATCATAACACTCACAATAGGGACCCTATGTGAGTTTTTTCCATTGAACAACCCTTTTCCTTATTAAATATATCTTTTTCAAAATTCATTATAATACATGACATTAGTTTGCAGATAAAAATCTTCAACAGAGGATGTCAGGCTTTGATCAAAGTAAACTTTGATCCTCTCAATATCTCAAATATAGTAATTACTAATCTAGTAAGCTTATTAGTTAATAATTACTTATTTCTCATCAACCCGTATAGATTTTTCTTTTCCAATTACTCAAATTCGTCATCCGATATCGTCTGTTGAAGACTTTTGTCTGTAAACTTGGGGATCATGGACCATAGTAATCTAGAAAGAAGCTAACAATATCCTCAAAGGAAATCATAAAGTTCTCTCACACGATCCGCGTGTGCTTCCATTTCAAGTTACGAGGAGTTTGGGACAAAATTTTCTAGTAGTTAATTAAGTCATGTTAATGGATTCTATTATTTTTATGAATTCTTATATTGTCGTTAATTCTTAAATTTTTCGATTGCTGGTAAAATAGAAAAATAAGATAAGATAAGATAACTTATTTCTAATATGAATTTTTGATTAATATCTTGGAATTGGAAAAAGAGGTAAGAGATAGGGAGCCCCTTCTGTAAAGTCAAGTAATAAGCCGGGGAAATAAAAAGCTTCTTCGAAAAAGTCATATCTTTTCGGTGAAAGTCAAATAAAAAATAAAGGTGGTTTATCTTATTTTCGCACTTTGCATTTGACAAATGAAGTCAATTTGTAATTGTTGAATAATGTGCATTGGTATAAGTGGCTCAAAAGTGGTGACTTGCATGATTGAGGGGGCGTTGGGCATTGAGTAAATAATAATTTAATAGCATTTTGACAGCATCAAATGTTAAAATATTGATTGTTAATTTGCAGTTACGGTTATTCGTACGATCGGACATCATCATCTAACAATATGTCTGATAGCAGCATGTCAGATACACACAGTGGTGGTACAGCAAGGACTGTGTCTCAACAGACAAGTCCTTCACACGCCACCCACTCCTCATCCCACTCTAGGCAAGAAAAATCATCGGTGATTGTCACAGTAATGTGGAAATACATTGCACAGAGTGAGGATGAATTGACACTTGAACCAGGTGAGCAGGTCGAAGTGCTGTCCAAGGATTCGAAAATATCCGGCGACGAGGGCTGGTGGACTGGTAAAATTTGCGGAAAAGTTGGCATCTTCCCAGCTAATTTTGTTATTGCAACTGATCGAATATCCATATTCGATCATGTACAACCCATGGAGATTGATTTTGAGGAGTTGCAGTTGGAGGAAGTTATCGGAGTTGGGGGCTTTGGAAAAGTTTACAGGTAACATCATATTTCTGCATATCAGACATATTGTTATCAAATTTATTGATAATAACTATTAATTAATTTACCTTCTCTTTTTATGAACCATAAAAGACCATTGAAAGCCTCAATTACATTACAATTCATAATTAACATCTCATTCGGCTCATCAATTATGTCATTGACACTTCATATTTCTCTATTTCAATGTTAAAATAAAAAATCCGTCTACTACAGCAGAGACTGAGAGACAGAGAGTTTTTTAGATGTTTCCACCGGTCGATATTCATTTGTGATTATCGATGTTGAAGCGTATTATGGAACTCATTTTTTTAGCTCAAAATCATTGGAGATGCTATTAACTAGCAATACAAAGAAAAGTTGCTGTTAACATAGGTATCATTCCTGCATAATATAGGGTTATTTTGATGAAGAACAATTTACAAATGATGGGACAGTGTCTCTGCTGTTTAAAGTAAAAAATTTTCATTCAGGAAAAGGCTTTTTGTTTTTTATCTTTGTCACCTAGACAGTCACGGAATTCCTCAAACTCCAACATTTTAAACAACAATATAAAACAATACAACTCGCTAGTAATTAGAGCACCTGAGCAAATTCATTATTTCTGCATATGAAGAAATTGGCAAGCTGTCATTGCGTTTAAATTTGTTCTCTAGATTTTTGTGAGAAGAGAACTTTTTTTGATAATTTCTTGACAAATATTTCGTTGAAGCTTTTAACAACATTTCAAAAATTCCTATTTTTCACTTAAACATTTGTTATGAAAAATGAAATCATCAATTCATAGTCGGATTGCATTGTTTATGCTGGTAAATGATAGAATCACTACTAATATTAATCAAATTTGAGCAAGGAGATGTTCTTCAATGAGTGTGTGATCAAGTTAAAAGGGTAAAAATGGCATCATTACTTATCAAGTTCTACAATAGCGTTATTTTCCTCTTATAATGATGTCCTTTAATTAATGATAGTATAACGACATGAAAAGATACAAGAACCATAAGAAAATCACTATTGACTCTTTATTATGAATGCCGGAAAATTTTCTAATGAAAGTATCTCTCTATATTAGGTGGTTTGAAGAGTTCAAGAGTTCCATTCGAAAAAAAAAGAAACATTTTTTTTTCAGCACTGGTTCTCCCATATGATTTATACAGGAATAAATTTATGAAGGTGTTTGAGTAGACAATAATTTACTAATAATTCATACAGAAGGAAAAAGAAAATTTACATTTCTTTGTCATTTTGTCATTGAAAATGCTTTCCGTTTTTAAATTTTTAAATATGAAGAATCACAGATGATTCTTGGAGTGCCTTTAGTGCTCCCCTACAATGTAATCAGGGGACGGCCATTTTTTTTACCTTTAATATAAAATCAAAAGACAGGCTCACTATAATTTTTTTCCCCTTTATATAATAATTGTGGATACTTTGGCACCTTTTTTTAATTTCCGTGCTCTATTGCTAGAGAAAATGGAATTATTTGATCAAAATGATAAAACAAAATTTCCCACAAAGAAACGCAAGATTTTACAACAGTTTCACGTAATTTTTCACGGAATGACATTTTCTCCCGTATAATTTTTCCCAATTTTTTATCTTCGCGTGTATTCAGTATTCCAAGACTTGACAAGATTCACTGGACACTTCAAAATTATATTCCACCGTCTCGCCCTCTAGATCAATAGTAGTAATGTTTTCTACTGGTCCAATCATAGTAATTTCAGAGAATTCCATAAAATAATAAATAAATCCATAAAATATCAATTGACTGACATTCTGATAGTTCTCCTTCTTGCACCTCATTAGGTTTTTCTGTGCATTTCAATAGCAATATTTCATGATTTGAGTTGAACATTTCGTTATGAAAATTCTTGGTCAAAACAGATCATATCACTTGAGGGAATCCACTTGGCTGGATGCATGAAAAGAAGAAAGTGATCTGAAAGTTTGTCACGTAAATTGTGTAAATGGAAGAAAAACTCTTTGAGATTGTAGAAAAGTAGATAGTAGATAGTAGTCCTCAAGGAGTCACTCTAAAATCTCTCTCTCTCTCTCTCTCTCTCTTATGGAAGGCATTGACTAGACACATGACAAAAGGCCGTATACATACCGTATGGACTTTGGGAATTGCTCAGATGATTGTGCTTATCTAGCTAACCATCACAGAAATCTATGTATTGACTCGAGTGTCAGGCTAACGCAATGGGCCTGAGCTGAATGAGTCAATAGCCTTGGGAATGAACGAATGAAGTGGAAGAACTGGTCCAACCAGGTGGGGAGGCAACTCTCCAAATGCCTATATTTATGTGTATATTAAATATGCGCTGAATTTTTTACCGTGTCATTTAATAAGAACATTCGTAACATTAATTCGTTTTCAAAGATAATCATGATGTTCCTCTTGTTAAAAATTAATGTTTTAAAATGTTTCCTTGGACCGTCGCCCGATAGATGGAATTTTGAATATTCAACTGATTGAATAATTTTGCAGGGGATATTGGAGAAAGAAAGAGGTAGCCGTGAAGGCTGCACGTCAGGACCCCAACGAAGAGCCGAGCGTCACTCTAGAAAATGTTCTTCAAGAAGCAAAGCGCTTCTGGCTTTTGAAACATGAAAATATCGTACAACTGGAAGGTGTCTCACTGAAAACCCCTAATATGTGTCTTGTAATGGAGTATGCACGAGGTGGAAGTCTAAACAGAGTGCTAAGCGGTCGAAAAATTCCTCCTGATGTGTTAGTCGATTGGGCAATTCAGATCGCTCGAGGCATGAATTATCTTCACAATGAAGGACCCAGTCGACTTATCCACAGGGATTTAAAAAGTTCAAACGTTTTAGTAAGTGAGCCCATTGAGAATGATGATCTTCATTGTAAAACACTGAAAATCACAGACTTTGGACTTGCTAGAGAAGTTGATAAGACAACGAGAATGTCTGCAGCGGGAACGTTTGCATGGATGGCACCAGAAGTCATCATACAAAATACTTTTAGTACAGCTAGTGATGTTTGGAGCTATGGAGTTCTTCTCTGGGAGCTTTTAACTGGTGAAACACCTTACAAAGGGATCAATGCACTTGCTGTAGCTTACGGTGTGGCTGTCAACAAATTGACCCTGCCTATTCCTTCGACGTGTCCACAGCCTTGGAAATATTTAATGCAGGCTTGTTGGTCTTGTGATAGCCACGGTAGACCAGATTTCACTGAAATTCTCGAGGCACTTGATGATGTGAGAAGTGCTTTTGCTGCCACTCCCCATGAGTCCTTCCACACTATGCAGGAAAATTGGAGATTAGAGATCGAAGAAGTTCTCCATGGATTGCGCATGAAGGAAAAGGTAATGGAAAAAAAAAAAATACTTTCACTCCCTTGAAATAACATGATCAAACTTTAGAGAAGGTGAAATCAGTTTAATCGTTAAATAAATTAGAGAATTGCATTATTTACTGGGTAATAATGGAGAGTTGGGTCTGGCATAAAATATCAAATCTCAACAAATTTGTTTCCTTGTTCTCTAATGTAATATCTTATTATGGAAAATGTGATAATACTGAGTACAATTGAATTCATGGAAATTCCATAGCGAAGTATAATATTATGTTTGTATTACTCATAAAATTCTTCTCCTTTCAATGCGCTACAAAAGGCATGCCGTTCTTTAGAAGAGGTAAGAGAGGCTGCAGCTTTAAATATATTATATTAAATTGACTATGGAAGGGTAAAACTGAATCGATATATCAGAATTGCCCTTTGGAATTTTCTTGCCAAATTTTTCTTCGACAAGATATTTTTCGATAGGTTTCTTCTTAAGTTGTTAGGTTTGCACGATTGCTCGAGGAAATACCCGAATTCTCGTTGATAGATACATTTCTCTTGATTTTTCACCTTCCAGTAGCTTGCAGAAGAATTTTCACTTAAATTCTTCAATTAACACAATGAAATTCAACCTGCCAGCATGGATGCCAATCTTTTGTTTGGCCGGTTGATGGGAATGGTGATGGGAAAAATAATGAGTAAGATTCTCATGTTTTTTTTTCTGAGATTGGAGATGATTGATACACCTAAATTTATCAAAAATATTCTTGGGAAAAAACGGTGGTGAAAATGCCATTATGCGTTATTAGTAGGATTATATAGGGAGGAATTTTGAATTTGATTGATGTGTATAAAAATTAATGAATTATTGGAATTGTAAAAATTTAGTTATAAATTGTATTTTCCTTCGTAGATGTTGATATTTTTTATTAATTTAGGAACTGCGCTGTAGAGAGGAAGAACTGACCAAGGCTCAAGTACAACAACGACAGCAAGAGGAAAATTTGAGGCAGCGTGAGGAGGAACTGGCAGCTCGAGAAATTGATTTGCTTGAACGAGAGATAACGGTGATGATGATTCAGCAGCAGAGCACACCGACACCTAATAAAAGAAGAGGCAAATTTAAAAAGTCTAGATTGAAACTCAATAAAAAAGAACCAGGAAGCAATATAAGTGCACCTTCAGGTATATTTCTTCATATAATTACATATATTTTTTTTTATTTTTCTGTTAATCGTATAATCTATTACTCAAATCTTCTCTAGTTCACGTCCGGAATTCAAATCTAGTGGGTAAAAGATAAACCGGCAAATATCCCGCAAAAGAAACGAGCATTCCAAATTGCTTCTAGATTTTCTAATCTACACAACTCGACACCGTCATTCATTTGCAGCCGAGCTATCGAAAAATAGCCAATAATTATCTATTTCTTAGGGCTATTATTACGCCATATTTATATATATATATTTTGCCTTATTTATTGGAGATTCATTTATTGGTGAAAACTTTGGCTTGAAATGATTAACTCCTCTGCATTTAATAAGAGGGTACCTTATAAACTCTTCGATGGTCGCATGCCTGAATATGTTTTAAAGAAAACATTGTTTCCATTGGATGTCAAATTGGATTATTATTAATTATTTAAGTTATAAGTAATATAATGGAAAATAAAAGTCTAATAAACGACCCTAATGGATGATTGCTGAAGAGCACGTCAATTAGTGATAGAAAATAAAGTGTTGGTGGATTTGAAGATGATTGGCGAATCTCTATTAATGTTTTCGTATTTATCAAGACAAATTGAAAAAATTTGAGGTGAATGTAAATAAGGAATGTAAATTTTTGTTCGGCAGACTTCCGGCACACCATAACAGTTCAGCACACGGCGTTGGAGCGCAAGAATCGGAATCCTTCTCGTCCCAACAGTCCACCAGGCTCACCCTGCATACCTCGATTGCGTGCTATTGCCTGTAAGCCAAACCAGCCGTAAAATTCACAAATCTAATAGTGAAAAATTCATTAATTTGAGAAAAAAATATTGTTCTTGGAGAAAAGTAGTAGTAAAGCGTTGTCTGACTGTTTGAGTTGCTTCTCTAGAAAAGTAGTGAGTAGTTGGTAAAATTTTTGAATAGCTTTTTTTTTTCAATACTTTATTTTGAAATGATGAAATAATTGGAGTTGGTTTTTTGATGATATATTTTTAGTGGATGATAATGATATGTTGTATTATTGTTTGGTTTTTATTTGTGGATTTGTGGATTGTATTTAGTACCGGCAGACGGAGTTAAGGGTAAAACTTGGGGTCCATCAACACTCCATCAACGTGAGCGCGGTGCGATAATCACCCAACCACCCAATCCAGCATCTCCCGGTGGTAAAAGATGGTCACGTTCAGCGCCAGATCTTGAAAAGACACCATTACGAACGGCATTACTGGCGAGCGCACAACGTTCCCCGCTGCTCCAAGAAATAGGTAACCCAACTAGCAGAAAATTGTACTCATCGGCGAATAATCTTATCGACGATCATGATGATGAACATGATGATGAACATGATGATGAACATCATATTGATGAGGATGGTAGAGATTTGAGGTTTTTGAGTGAATTAAAGGAGTCAATGAGTAGCAAATTGGATAGATCGACAATCGTAACTACCAATTGTGCATCGTTCGTCATTATAAAGAACACTAGGATTAATAACTCATCAATAAATTCGATAAATCCACAAAGTGAGAGTAATTTCGTGCATAGCGTGGCGTCAAGTCTCGTCAGAACAGCCAAAAGAGTTAAGAGTAAGAGGAGAGAGAGAAGTAAATCTAAAGAGATCAAACGACGCGACAGCTCTGAATCACGATTGAATTCTTTGGCTGATTTTTTTCGATCACCCTCAGGCTCGAGAAAAAGCTCTTTAGCCTCGTCCGAAAAGGAAATGAAGAATTCGGTTATTGTTAGAGTTAATGATAATGCTAATGCTAATGCTAATGCTAACGCTAACCCTAACGATGGGCTCGAGTCTAGTCCTGAAAACTCTATTGTCAAACCTGTCAGGCATAAATCTAGAAGTGCAAAGTCACCATTAAGAGTTTTCAATAGAATTAGAGCGTGGGGCAGTCGTGATGCTCTCGATGGAAAGCAACAGGTTAAAGTCCAATACAGCCTACTAGAAAACTCCATCATTATTCCTGATCTTTCAGATGACGGTGATAGTCTTCCTAGTTTTTTGGCAGCCAATTCGAGAGAAGGCATTGATTTTGAGAATCTTGAGGCTCACTTTAATCATGACGCTCAGCTAGATGATAAAGCCAATAAGGGGCAAACCAAGGCAACCAACTCCATAAACTTTATTCACAAACCAACTTTCACTTTTCAAGATTTTAACAGGAGAAGGGACAAATTTTGTGTTGGTGAGGTTAAGAGGGCTAAAAGTACTGAGTCTCTGGGAAATTCTGTGAAAAATCAAATTCGTGAAAACAACTTGCAACAAAAGTTTGCCGAGGCATTAACAATAGCCAGTTTAGTAAGACGTCATTCTGAGGGAATGCATGCCAACGAGGATGGCGAGAACCCTGTTAAATCGCCTACCAAAAAAAATTAGTTATTTTAAAGTTAGTGAAATTTATAAAAATTACATGTTGGCCGATTAAATAGCCGCAAAGTCAGAAAGTCCGTTACAGCAACTTTTCACCAAAATTTTTCTCCCCCTTTGAGATTTTCCATAACCAAATATTCAATGCAATCATATGTTCATTATCAAATGTTAGGGTGATTTTTTTATAGATAATATAGACAACAAGAGCTCCTCACTTTTTATCCCACCCCACTAGCTCGCCCCATAACTTGTATAACATATTTCCATGTGTAATTGTATGCTCTTTGTCATTTTCATACCGAATTATATTTTAGAAAATTATCTCTCTATCACAGGTCTTTCCGAGGAAAATATCCATTCTACGCGTAAGTTCAATACATTCGATTGTTCAATAACAAATTCAATTTGGTAATAACCATCGTTGAATATTTTGTTGTTTTTATTATTATAATTTTAAAAAATGTTGTCCCAATTTATTTTTTTTTCTCCTCACTATCGTACGTCATGTTCCAGTGAAATGCATGCATTTTTCGTACTATTCTATTTAAATGAAAAAATTCTCCATCTTTTTTTGACTATTTGACATAGGACTTTTTGAGAACTCTCTCTCTCTCTCTGTCTCTCCATCTCTCTCTCTCTCTTTCTCTCTCGCTCTATATATATATATGTATATGTATATGTATATATATATATATATAAAGTTGAAGATGTAAAGAACATTACTTGTGGATAATTTTTTACATTTCAATGGATTATCTATTTAGTAGTTGTATAAGGACATTTGTTTAATTACTCATTGAACGGCATTCGGTAATTAAAAAGTGAAAAAATTATTTAGCATAAAATAGTAATTGGTTGAGGGACCAGCTACCAAAATTTTTTTATTATATTTGAACATTCAAGTATTAAAGGTGATTGATTAGGTGGATATTGATAAATTGAAAAGAGACCGTATGATTAAATTGAATTGAAATGCTCTTTCGTTGCCAGCGGAACGTGATTTGTTTCTTCATTATTTGTAATCCAAAGAAAGAATAATAAAACAAAATTAATCAAATATCATTAATTAATTAAAAGTTAAAATTAAGTTGAAATGGTTGAAAGGATAATGACGGAGATGGCAAAATATGTAAAGTAAAAATTTGTTGGTGTTGGTTTAATTTTTCTCCTTTCATCCAAATTTATATTCCTTCCTAAAGATTCATAATTTTCTAACCACAGTAACTGTCAACATACGCTATTTCTTCAATTCATCATTTTTCTCGAGAAAAACAAATTTAATATCTTTTTTCCGTCGTCTATTCTCTTACTTATTAAATAAAGTATTGAATTGTGTTTTGCTTTGGTTTTTTTTTTTTTCTCATTAAACGACAAACGAGTTTTGTAATTGAATAAAAAAATTTAGGACGCGTAACAACAATAGAAATAAATTTTTTAAAAGATGGGAGAGAAGTGATATGGGCACACATTCGTGGAGACAATAGACAAAAATATGCACACATTTGTATTTAGACATAGTTTGTTTTTAAATAAAAGCTTTTCAGTTGGACACGTTGAATTTTTTTTTGTAGTTAATTTGTTTATTTCAATCCTGTGTTTGCATGGCGAACTGTAACAAGTCACTTCATCTCATTCCGGTTATTATTGGATTATCTCGGGGAAAAGTGATGCCAAAAGTATATGAAGATTCTCACTTATCGAGCAGGCCAATTTTTCCTTACAATTCACCAATTCGATCGTCACAATGGTAATCAATAGTTTCTGAGATAATGCGATGATTAATAGAGATGGTATATCACATGAATATATTTTATTTATTCTCGCCTCATTTTTTTTTCATATGGCGATGGCGATATCTTGAAAATCAATCAAGGAGAAATAATGTTGAGCGTATATGATACCCTGCACGATACCTCCTACATTCCTAACTTGTATCACTAAATTAATTAAGCAAATCCAGTCAACCTAAATTCTACACCTAAATCCTCATGCTCATTTAGTGGATAAGCCTACTATTATTTTCCAATTAAACCTACTCACACTACTCATATCATTAACATTTCATCCATACCAACGTTCTTCTTTATTTGCTAGTTAATAGTTAATTTGGCATAAAAATGTAAAACATTTACTTGCATGTGTATTGAGTAGCGGGAGGACTCAAACGAGTCAACATATTAATGCACCATTAAAAAAAAGAAGCATCTATGTTAAATTTCATTCTTCAATAAATCACAATATTCCAAGGAAAATGCAATTTTATAAAAACATTAAAAAAAAAAAAAAACTAGTAAAAAATAGAATGAGGTAAGAAATCTAGTTTAGGGAAAGACTGTGGTTTTTCCCAAATTTTTGTCATTGTATAATATGATATAACAATAGTTATTGAATCTAGTTATTGCTCTGGTTAATGAAAATTTTTATAACAAAAAAAAGCACAAGGAATGAATGGTAGGGTGTTATAATAAAGAAAACGCTCGGAGATGAGGAGTGAAGAGGAAAAAAAATTATAAATTAATTTTGTAGATTATTCGACGTTACCATCGGATATATGTACGGAGTGGATGAAGACAGATTATCCATTGAAAGGGGGTATGACGGTACCGTATATCATGCCAATGCCAATGCCAACGCTTTATAATGGAGAAGCTAAGAAACCAAAGCTAGGGGCCATTGAGTTATTGCTGTATAACATTGCTGCTATGCTCGCAGGCGTAGCGACAGGCTTCGATGTTAGAATTACCAATGTCTCACCAATTCATCCCAGATTACAAGCGAAAATTGGTGGCTGCGAGGAGGAGGAAACGGCAAAGTGGTGGATCGATAATAATGGCTCCAATCGAAATTCTGCCTATTTGGCCGATGACTATGACTTCTCATCCACCAGTGGATATCCACATAATACCTATCATGGACCTGCACGTCATTATAGGTACAGGTAAATAATAAAGCTGTCTAAAATAACTCTCACTTGGCTCAAATATTTTATTTTTTTTTTTTCAGACCTTTTTTGAATACAATGGGGGGTATAGCTCCAGGTCTCTCACTAAATGTGGAAAAACCTCTTAGATTCACCGACTCACCTCAGCATTATACCTGCAATAGTACAACGAGTTCGAAGGTGCCGACACCAAGACCACGTAGAAAAAATTCCAGTGCAAGTGTCAACGAGGAAGTCTATTCGCCTGAAATTGCTCGGGCAGATCGATTGGTTGAGAGAGTACCTACCATTTACATGGCAAATGTACCATCTTATCCGGAGCTCGGTCCACCGGTTTACACCATTGTGCCTCCCGAGTGGAATAGTAGTAGTAGTAGACCATCGGATTCTCCCTATTTTTTGCCTCCTGAGTATCAGTAAGTTTATGGAAAATCCTTATTTAAACAAAATATTTTAATAAATTAAATTAAAATATTTGCAGTGAGAGAATGATTGAATATCCGGAGTTGCCTCACGCTTACGACAATCCAAGTAGCTTGAACAGTTTCGTACGAGGTGGCTCACGAGCATCTACTACTACCAGTACCACCACCGCCACCACGACAACCACCACCTACACCCACCATCGAACCTCATCCAACGTTTCTAATACAAGTAATTCGAGTAATGTAAATGCCACTTTTCACCTCGAGGACGAGTCTGAGTTTGTCCCTTATTCCCCCAGCCACTATTATCAACGGCTGCCAAATCCTCCATGTACAAATTTTGGATACGTAACCCAGGAGTATAGCCCCTACCCTCAACCTCCTTCCTTTCTCACTCGTCAAAACTCCCACGAAATCAGTTCAAGCACAGAGAGAGAGAGGCCGAGTAATCTCGAGGCAGTCACTAGATTGCGATCCAGTCTCAAAAAGTCACAAAATTACACGTATTCACCGAATAAAAGCACAACTAATAATTATCATTCTGGATCAGGTACTCCCACCAATCATACACCCCCTGACTCATTAACTTCTGAGGACTCGAGTTATGTATCCGCTAAGGATAATCAGATATCGAGTAGTAGGGTAAGATTTTCACCGGTGACATTCGATCGAGAAATTCTGAGAAATTCTGATCACATTGATATAGCTCATACGCCTGGCCAGGAGACAATCACTTCACCCCTTCAAACTAGTCGTCGCTTGTCTAGAAATCGTAAACCTAGTATTTCAGATCTTGATAGGGAATTTTTATCATAGCACTGGCTCATTTAAATTTCGCTTCCCAATTTTCTCACTCTTTTCCTTTTCTGTGGAGATTAATTTAACTGATTCCCAAAATTCGAGTCTAAATGAAGTAGGTTTTTTTTTGTCACTTCAGCCGTGAAGCACTTAGTGTGTTTGTGTAAAAAAAAAAATAATAATAAATAGCCTGCGACGTCTGGAATCATATGAATTAGAAAGATAATTCATTGTTAGACAATCCATGAAAGAGTGCGTCACGGACTGAGTGATAATGGATAGTTCCGCAGATTACATATGCTTAGACAAATTTATCAACACAAAACTTAATTGTCAATAATAAATCAAGCTTGTATCAATGTTTTCCGCTAAATTTACCAAGTTCAACGATCAAAAAACTTGATTATGGGAGATTTAGTGTTTGACTTCACCAGAGCAATTATTTTGATGCAATAATGGCAAGGGTTGCAACTTCTATTCTCAAGATAAAATAGTGGTGGTGTGGCTTCCTCTCACTTGTATTTTTTTTTGTAGATTGTTGGTACAACTTTGATCAGATTGACTCGAATAAATACAGAGTTATTGAGCTTTCTCATTATCATTATCAAGTGGCATTTTGGTAATGAGACAAAATCTAGAGCTGGATTATTTAATATGGATGAAAGCCAAAAAGGGGGTATTTTTTTGAGGATTGATCCGATGAAGAGTTGTATGGCGACTGCAATACATCCTTAAAAAGTTGAGAGTCGAAGAGAGGAAGTTATTATTTGAAAAATGGGTTAATGTACAATGTACCATTTATTAAGACTTATTATTTTATAGATATGTAATAGACTGGAAAGTTGAATGAGAAAGAAGAGTCCTCTTCCAAATAATCCAAATATTTGTACCATTCGAAAGAACACTGCCTTCCTTAGGAAACTACTTATTTTATAAATAAACTAAAGGATATTTGTATTTCCAGTGAAAGTTCACCATCTGATCATTCCATTTGCATTCTTAAATATTCTTGTTAAGGTAATAAAAAAAAAGTCGCATTATATAGTTTGTTTTTGAAAAGACCGCTGGAAGTATAAGAATTATCAGTATTTTCTAGTGCATTCGATGTACATGAAATATACATTCCGTATTATTAATAATACGTAATCGATTGAAGAGAGTTCAATGGTGATTGATAAATTTAGGTAACTTAGACTGGACCCTTGGAAACTTATGTTTGGGGTTTTGTCCGTTTTAAAATGATACAATTAGGAAATAGAAAATTTTTATAGTGATTAAATATGATATTCTGCGGTGCTAGCTATCACATATGTACTTACTCAATTACCAGACGTGAAGAAAATTGTGTGTGTGATAATGGATTATTTTCCACAGATTGAATAAATTAGTAGGTTTATATATTATACTTTCGGCCGCTAATTGCATACATTATTATTATTATTATTATTATATAAGGTGACGTACTTAACATCTAAAATGTTAAAACTAGCCCAAGTTGTATTTATTTAATTAGTTAGCTATAGGATATTTGTGTATTATTTTCGAATTTTCAAATTCGAATAGTTACCGTCTTTATTGTAAAATTGATTTATTTCTATTTAATTTATATGTAGTTGAATAGTCAATTTCAATTGTTATCGAATCACCGAAAAATTTAATTTCTTCATCATTCACCAAGGCTAATTCTATTATTATACTCATTATCATTATTAACTTATAAATGAAGATATTGCACCAATTCACCGAATGAAAATTATTTTTATTTATTGGGGTGTAACGGAAAAAAAAGCAAGGAAAATTGTTAATAATTCTTTCATTGTTTGTTTCTTTGAAATTTATGGAGATCACAATTGACGAAAATCGTTATACACAATTACCAATAAATTATTGATGAAAATGGATAACTCAGTAGAGAAGTGATAAAATCATTCCAGATGACACAATGACTTTGATTTGGTAATTGTCCAATTACGCAACAAAAATGGACAAAAATTCGGCTCTCACCTTGAATAATTTTATCAAATGATTAGAAATAAGAAAATCAATTCTAAAGCGCTGAGTACAATGTGTTCTCTAATTTTTAATTAAAAAGAATGGAAAGAAATAAAATAATCATTCCGACTGCTTGAATATACGCCTTATAAAAAGTTGTATTTATGTACGAAAGCATTGCAGATTAGTTCTGTGAACTTGTATGATTGATATTGATGTTGAATGTCAGATTTTAACTTTAAGGAAAATATAGAAAAGTGAGGTAATTTTTTTCTACAAATTCACAAATCAATCATTTGCTAAATTTTATTTGCCCGTATAAACTTTTTGAAATTTCCAATATGTAATCTCTCAACCTCTCAACGGTGAGGTATTTTTTCAAACCTTGTACATTAATATATATATAAATTATCGTTATGTTAAAAAACATATACATATGCTACAAATTGTAATCTCTAATATAATAAATCTGTTGCCTTTTCTTCGAACCCGACCATTTCCATAAAAATACCCCATTTTCTCCAAATATTTCATCAGTTTATTTACTCCAAACAGTATGTAGACACAGCATGTGCTTTATGATTTTTATTTTCTTCATTGTGTATTAAACACTTTTCGCGTTTTTTCCAACAAAAATTGTTTGCTTCAGATTCACCAAATAATCATTGAATTCAATAATTGAAAGAATAAATACATCGAATAACAGTCTTGAGGTAAACTCCCCTTGCTCTCGCTATTAACACGACAAGATTTCAGGCAAATTTCACATTCCGGTGATCATCTCAAACAATGATTATCTTGATTAAATATTGGCATACATTGGAAAGTTCATCCTTTTTCTTCCAATAAAATAACATTTATTTTAATGGAATAATATTTTTTCAACTTTTCTACTAACTGTTATAGGATAGAAGAAAGATATTTAGAAAATGACTATTTTTCAAAGTGGAATAATGATGGCCATTATAATAATATTGAGCAATTGTTTTATTGATTTAATCTGTCAACTCTTGTCCTCTTTTCTTGATACAAAAAAATAGTATAAAAAATTTTTAATGAATAATGAAGAAGGCACATTGCGAGTGCCAGGATGGAAAAATTACCGAAGCTATTTACAGTGGATTTTGTCCAGCAAATGAGAAGGAATTTTCAGATTTGGAGCGCAGTAACTCCTTATATACTATCAAATCTTATACTCTAGACAACAGCAACGTCGAGGTAGTTGTTATCACTTGGGGAGCAACCATAGTCTCCATTAAATATCCAGATAAGTATGGAGAAGTAGTAGATGTCGTTTTGGGATTTGATAATTTAGAGGATTATATGAATCCACTAGTGAATCCACTTATTGGTTGCGTGTTAGGACGATGCGCTGATCAAATGAACAATCCTAGTATCAGAATCAAAGGTAGAGAGTACCAATTGGCCCTGAATCAAGGGGTAAGAAAATATACACCTTAATTATATTATAACTTGTTTGTTGTTATTTTATTATTATTTTTTAAATATTGTTTATAAAAATGAGAGAATAAATAATTTGACTTGATTTTTAATAGATTGGGGGGTTTGGAAGACAAAACTGGGACTCACACATAGACGGAACTACTTTAATCTTAACATATGTCAGCCCTGACGGTGAAGATGGTTATCCAGGAAGTGTTTTGACCACTTTAAAATTCAAACTCACGTCAGATAATACGTTAGACATTAGAATGCAAGCAATAACCACCAATCCAACAGTGATAAATCTCTCTTATGGTCCACTATTCAATTTGGCTGGACACGACGCCGGAGAAGACGCTTTAAAGATGCACACTATCTCCCTCAATTGTGATCGCTTCATATTCACGCAAGATGATGATGGCACTCCAATCAATAAAAGTCGTAACATTGGAGGAACTTTATTGGATTTAAGAATTCCTCGACTTTTAGGAGATGAGGGAAATGATATTTTATTTCATCAAAATTTAGCACACAATTTATGCGTCATTCGGAATTGTGACCATTCATTGACTTTTGTATTCAGGGCTTATCATGAAAAAACTGGCAGGTAAATCAACATTTTTTTCAACAGATCGACATAATTTTCAATCGATTTATTCAAAATGATGAAATGCTTAAAATGCTTAAAATGCTTAAAATGCTTAAAATTTGTAAAATGGCAATTCAGAGTTTTAGAAGTTTTCTCCAACCAACCTGGAGTGCAGTTCGATACGTGCGCAAGCTTTCCCACTGATAATAACTTAGACGACATCACATGTCAGACGCTTGATGCTAAAGCATTCGATGATCTCGCTAGTTACACTAGCTTTATTTCTGATAATGCTGAAGAATGCTGGAGAAATGAAGAAGATAATCATTCATTCGCCAATACAACTTTTCGCTCTAACAAATTACCAATTAAATTTATTCCTGGAAAGAATGGTGCTAAATACACGAAATTCTGCGCATTTGGTGTTCATCCTCAGAATTATTACAATTCGGCAATTGTAAGTAGGACCATGAATTTTTTTTTTTTAAGGAATTCCACTGTGAGTATTCGCCTTATTATTTTTATTTATGTAGAGAGATTTTCCCTGCGCTATTGTACGTCCAGGCCAAGTCTACCACCACAACTTGGTTTATAGATTTGCCATTCAGCTTGAAAATTGTATTTAACGTGAGATTGTTTAAATCCCAGCCATAAAAAAAAGAGAAGAATACATTGAATATAAAAATCATAATAAACTTTGTGAGTCTTAAATTCATTCGATTAAAACCATTACTTTTAGCTAGCTGCTTTGAAAAATATAATAAACATATTGATTACCACAAAGATATAAAATAAATCATTTAGAATTTTTTCTTTTAGCTGCAAAAAACCTTGCAACATCTCCAATGGTCATGCCAAACTCAGTATTATTCTTCAAAGTCTTCTGGATCCATCCAGGAAGAGCTTTATATTTGTTAACGTACCTCTTGTCCATCAAAATGACTGTGGCGTAATCATTAATGTGTCTGACAGCTCGTCCAATACATTGATTGACCGCTTTCATGCAACTATTTTCGTAATATTCATTGCCAGCCCCAGCTCTAACATTCTCGTTTAGATATTTAATTTTTTCTTGGAGCTCAGGAGATTTGATATTTGGGTAAGGCATGCCAATCACGATAATACATCGGCCTAGATCGTCTGAGAAGTTTAAACCTTCACTGAGCTTCCCTCCTACCACACTGAAAAGTAAAGAGCCGCTTTGCGAGCCTTTCCTATCTCTAATTGACTTTGAGTAATTTTCCAATACAGAGCTCACCACTCTAGAAGATTTTGGCTCTCTGAATACTTCTTTCTTCAGGCTAATTTTTTCAATTATTCCTGTTGAGTCTAAATGCTTATAGAGAGTCTCCTCATACTTGTACGAGGGAAGGAATACTACAATTCCTCCCGGGACAATGTTTGTTAGATTTGTTAGAGTTCGCCCTACTTCATCCAATAATTTTTTATTGTCGCGATTCTGGTAGTTGAACTCAAAAGGTATGTTGTTGGGACCCTTTGTAAGTACTCTCGTTATTATGTTCTCTTTGGGGACAACGTGATCGCAAGAAAATATTGTTATCCTTTCTAATGGTGCTCCAGCTTCCATGAAGAGTTGGTCGCGAAATTCCGATATTGGCTCCATAGTTCCCCCTGCCAGAATGATCGACCGTGCTTCTTTCACAATATCATGAAAATGAGCTGCAGGATTCATCAATAAAAATTTGATAACGCCTTGTCCAAGAGTCGCCCCGGGAATAACAAAAATTCTTCCGTCAGTGCAGCAACTTTTCAGAGATTCCAGAAATCCAACAATTTTTAATAATGAATTCTTTGAAATATTTTCATTAGTAGCATTGTCTTTTAATTCTGACATATTTTCAGTGGTATCATTAACTGTTGGTTGGTTCGTCAACAGATTGAGGAATGCTGTAATTCCCTTTTGGTTGTTTTTATTTGCAACCGGAGTTGAGTGAATTTTTAAATCTTCGCTGTGCTTTTCTAAATATCCTTGAAGTTTATGAGCCAGTTTAGAGCTGTGTATGAACGTTATAAGCTCGAACATGTTAACACTGTCAATCTCCGTCGTTGTTTCAAAGTTCTGGAGCGTGTAAACTTTGGCTTCTTGATTATTTTCGATTTTATCTGTCTCTAGACATCTGATGCTACCCCCTAGCATTTTTAACAGCTTTTTCAAGCAGAAACTCAATTGATTCAAATACAAAACGCTTTTTGCTGAGAAGAGATTTTCGAATCTTTTCTGATACTTCGTCAACTGATTATAACAATGCAAAATATTCCGTCCAGTGATAGTAGTACTGTGCATTCTCTCAATTGCCTCCAGTAGATTATGCGCTTCATCAATAATTATCACATTATTTTTCAAATTAATGCCCGAGCTTATTCTTGTATTTTTATGTAGAATACTATTATAAGGAAGTACTATCACTTGCCCATCTTGTAGAGATTTTCTGGAGGCGTAATAAGGACAGGTTTCGATTTCTTTGGCTGTTTCTACTATTTCCTCAATGTCTTGAATCTTTGTTACAATGCTAGCAACTAATAAATTCTGATCTCCAGGATTGTAAGGGCAACAACTGTTTTTTGTTTTCAATCGTTTGACGTCTTTTTCTTTTTTTGAAGTCGTTTTCTTCGACCTTTGCAGCTCCATACATTTTTCATTTATTAGATCAACATTGCCGAGTTGTTTTACAGCTGCGTTCACACAATAATTTTGTCTGAAAAAATCGCTTCGTTAAACCATCATAAATTCGCATTTAAATTTCTAAATTTGAATGGAAAAAATTTCGAGATTTGCACATGTCCAACATGATTAATTCATTGCAACGGAAAAATCATACCTGGAGCCTATGGGCACTAGAGAAAACAATCCAGAATAGGGGCTGTTCTTAAATTCTCCAATAAACTGACTGAGTTGAGAATGAGTTCTCGAACACAGGAAAAACTGCGTTATACACTTCTTTTCTGCATTATTCTCCTCCTCATCATCATCATCAGAATTATCGGGTTTGATCTCCTGCTCATCTAATAATAGTTCATAATCATCATAATGATTATCATTATCATTAGTCTTGCTGGTTTCAGGTCCGTCCAAATCATTTTCACTCATCCCTCTATCAACATTTATCTTCTGTAACTTGAAAATTTTCTTCCTGTTGTTTTTAGATTCCAGTTTACACTCTGTTACTTTTTTTCTCATTGATTCTTTCCTCTTTAAATGATATGCAATTGTCTCCAATTTTTCTTGAACAACTCTTTTCTCTTGATTAACAATCATTTGCTTGGAGTAATCATCGATCCAATTTCCAGTGGATTCCTTCTCAATCTTTTCTAATTTATCGTCTAATTCTTTCATCATCTCTCGAAGATCCTTCTCCTTTTTCTTTTCATGATCATGTAACCATTGCAGTGTGCCGCATATTATTGACATTGTTTTTCCAGTTCCAGTTGGACTCTCGAATATCCCCAAATTACCTTTATCTAGACATTCATACAGAGACTTCATAAAATCATTCTGGATATCATAAGGAGGGAATGGAAATTTAAAAGTTTGCTCTTCCATTTTCCACTTATTTACGTTTATGATGTTGTTTGCCCACAGTGCACAGTGCATCTCCAATTCTCCACTTTTCTACTATATAAGTATATAGCTTCTGTGGTTATATATGAGTACAAGTGTGTGTTTTCCCTCCTTTTTTCTCATTCAAGTGTCGCCATCTTATATTATTATTGTGAGTATGTACCGTCACTGCGCAAGACATCTAGCTACAACTGAAAACAGGTTATGAAAATGAAATGAAATTTCGAAGGCTCCTTCGAGGCTTCTCTAAATAATATCAAGTGCTAAATCATAATTCATTGTTTCGTCATTGAAATAAACGGCAAAAACTGATATTACCTGATAATAAGTAACCAAGTGAGTATGACGAATAAAAGCGCAAGCATTTTCATTCTATTATAACAAAAAACCACCATAACCTCAGTCGGTCTCAATACTGCCAATGGCTTTCATTTCAACTCCCCATTACAGTATCACTCATCTCTTTTATATCCATTATCAAATTTTCTTCCTCATTTTTTCATAAAAACTTATTCATTATTGAATATTGCTTAAACTGCTGCTAATCCGGGTCCATTCAAATAAAAATTATACATCTTGTTTTATTTATCTGTTTGAATTTCAATCTCAGCAAGCTTGTAGAAATAAACATATTCATAAACGAAATCATCTTTTACACTTGAAAGAAAATATGTTCTCCAAGATATTACTGAAATTCAATAGAATATCTCACATACTAAACTATTTTGCTAAGAAAGAAAGAAAAAAATTGAAAGATCAATTTATTAAAATAATTACGATAAATCAATGTGTTCAATCAAGGCTCGGATGGATTATCTAGAAAAGTTAATTTGCTCCGAAATTCGCATTCCTAATTACTTTGGCAGTTAATCGTTTTTTTCAATAATTGTTAGCTAGCGTTCCAGCGGTTGTCAACAACTAGGCCGCTAGCTAATAATTATCGAAAAAAAAAACGATTAATTGACGGAGTAATTAGAAGTCCCAATTTTGGAGTAAATTATCTTTTCCAGACAGTCTATCCGGGCCTTAAAGCGGTTAAGAATGTCTTTAAAAATATTGTTTTTACCTTGAAAAATGTTCATATTAGAGGAGAAATTTATCCTTATATTATCAATATAATAACAGTTTTTTTTTGTCAGAAAATAATACATCAATTAATATTAAATATAATATTACAATAATATATGGGCTCGTACATGTAAGATTGGGATGAAAACTAATTATTTTCCTAGGATCTCAGGTTTTTTTTTTTTTTTTCGTAATGTTCAAGCCGGACGTTAAACTTCTGTGTAAATCTGATAGAATTTGATTGTAGGATGAAAGATATGTAGGTACCTGCTTATTAGAAAAAAAAGCACGGGGTAATATGGATACCAGTTTTAAATAATACCATTAAATGAATGTGGATTGTTGTTGCAATTTCATTTGCAGATGTGTAAAATGCAACAACGTTGAGATGATGTATTAAATCTGTTTTCATTGGATATTGCTCAGGTGGTGGTAGATAGCGAAAATTTCGTATAGGCTTTTTTTTTTTTGCATATTTAAAAGATCTATCTGGTCAAACTAATATTTTTTTAAGAGACGCAATATGATATTTCTCGTTCGTACAGTTAGTAGTAAGAATTAGTAGATATACACATTCTCGTGTATATCTACTAATTCTTAGAATAATAGAATAGATATGTAGATTAGGGGTCTCGTTTACAATTTTATTGAAATTTACACGGTATATAGTTTTTATTGATAGCGTAAGCTGTGCTTTTTAACAAATAATAAAATTTCTTGTATAAAAGATGGAGATTTTTCATCCATATAGGGCCAGTTATGTGGTTAAGTTAATCATGCTTAATGATTGGTTAAGGTAGAGTTAACTTTGGGGTAAAAACTCCAATTGGTTGAAATAGCAGTGATAACTGTGTGAAGAAAAAGAAAAAGATCTATCAGGGACTCTTTCAGAAGATAGAACATTGTTGTGAAAGGGGAAAAATAAGGAGAAAGTAGATAGACTTGAATAATCAAGGATAGGAAAAGCCTCTTATGCTGAAGATATTTAGTCATTGGTGGTAGAAAAAAATCTACTAAAAGAAATTTATGAAAAAAAGCCTTATTATATATCCCTTAGTGTAATTTGCCTTATCATTTGTTGGGATAAATAAGGATAGAATTATTATTTGATTTGTTCAACAATAGAAAACAAACTAAATTGAGTGAAATATTGTTTATTTGAATTTTAGAAAGACAGAAGAAGATGAGCACAATGGCCCCAGGCCGCGTATTAACCCGCTCAGTAACCACCACTCGTCCGATAGACATGACTTTGAGCCTTGATTGCATCGAGGAACCCCTCTCAGAAGCTCAAATCGCTTTAAAATCTCGGATCCAAGAGGACTACGAGCGTGTGATTACCACCTTGGATGAGATAATGAAGAAAGACAACGGTCAACTCTTAACACAAACGTCCACAGTAAGTGGCTACCAATATTCCCTTGGCCCTGGCACCTCTTCCATCCTCAAACAATCTGCTCTAAACCAATCCCAACCCACTAAATCTATCAAGCTCAATGTCTTGAACAACTCAAATACGTCCCAAGGTAATCTCCAGCTTGTAATGGATCCCCGAATGGGTCTGATTCTCAACACGGTATCCCAAAATACCACATCCTCTACTCCGACGCTTTCTCCTCAACTGGCAAAACCTCATCAGTCCCACCCAGCCCATGAAAATACCCCAATAAATCAACCTCTCAATCAATTCACTCGGGCAACTCGTCAAAACACCATTCGGGCGAAGATTCTCCAAATTCAACAACCAGACGTAGTGGAGGATAGGCAGCTATCTGTAGAGACCACTTCAACACCTGCAATTTCCAATCTGACAGCTTCTTCAAAAGCCCCTCATCCTCCTCCTCCTTCTTCTCCCCATACTACTACTACTATTAATAGTACTACTACTACTACTACTACTATCATCACCACCAACACCACCACTACTACGTCATCCCACGCTACAGTGCAAATTTCAAATGCAAAACTTAAAACCTCCCAACGGCCACCAATGATTGTAAGACCTACGGAACAAACTTGCATCGGTGGGATAGCAGTTGGTAATAAAAACAGCGCGGACAGTATAGACGAATCAAAGCGTCATCTTCCAGATGGGCGTGAGATCGCATTTAATAAGATGAATGGAGGAAGAACATTTCCCTCTTTAGTGGTGGTGGCACGACCTTTTTTGAGGAGTAAGGAAGTTCCCCCCCAGACTATTTCCAAAGAGCGAAATGAGCTAGATGCTAAAGTGAAAACGGTACTCATGTATTCAGCAACGAGATTTGCCGAATGGTTAATACAACAGGGATTGGTCAAGTCTGAACAATACTGCGATCAACACTCCAATCAAAAGCCAAAACTCAAGCTTGGTATGTACAGTCACTGTGGCTCCTTTCCATATTCTGGGGGCTATGTTTGGATTTCGAGTTGTTGTCCAGATCGATTTGTTTCGGTTTTCTCTGGGTCAATTTTCCAGGGAGCTCCACATACACCCTCGGTGTTATTGAAGCTCATCTATCATTGGTCTTGTCAAACAAATGTTCAGAATGTCGTCTCCTGGGTGAAGATATCTAATGTCTATGTAAAAAACTTTTACACAAGCTTGAGAAGTATTTGCACTGCAGCTGTTTGGGACAAAAGTTCGTTGATCGGTGGAAAAGGAAGAAATATTCAGGTGGGAGTTATAAGTCTTGGAACAACTTCGCAAGATGGAAATCTTCGGCAAGTTAAAGTGGAGGTCCTCGGGATTTTGAATCCAGAGACTGGTGAGCTGAGACTAAGAGCTTGTGAACCAGTACAGGACAATGATCGCACTGTAAAACGAAGATTTAATAATATCCTTCAGCCTCTGAAGAATTGGGTGGACAAAGATTCAAAAATTCTTACTGATTTTACCGTGGACAAAGGAATTCTCCACGAGCTAGGATTTAATCAAGTAATTCAGGTGGCCTACAATAATCAGACCTCACGCCATCAGAATAGCAATTATCAGGTGATGGAGTACCTTCGTAAAATAGTTCCCAGGATGTTTCAAAATACTTTGAGCCTCTTGAGCCGACAAATGATCCAACAATTTCTCGATGAACTCGTTTGGAGAGAGATGTTCGGCACAACAGCGTCACGAGCCTTTCACAGTATCATCAGTCACATAGCTGAGCAAACTCGTGCTTCCACAGGTGAAAATCTCCTTGATCGTCTCAGCAAAGTAGCTGTTAATCCCTTCAATGATTGGTCGTATTCACAATATATTGCGAAAGAGTCTTACTCTGTAAATAATACTGCTGAGCCGATACTCCTTTCAAATGACACAAATCCTGCAAACGATGCACCAATATTGACGCTCAAAACTTCAGCGGTTCAATCCATTAGAAGATCTCGTAAACGTCCGATGAATTCTCCAAATGTGATAGAAGCAAAACGTTCTAATTCTGATATTAAAATAGACTTCAAAGACCTCGACAAAGGTGAACAAGTTGCCCTCCATGCCTTTTACTACGGAACTATTGAAGGGGACAAATTGTCTTGGAAGGAGGAAAAGCGCATTGCCTCATTTACGTGTTTTCTCTGTCCAACAACAGTTAAATCAAATACTGAAGTAATGGACCATATGATCAAGCACGTGCCTCATCGAGTTGCAGGCCAATTGCACTGTCATGTGTGTCGATATTGTTGTGCCGCCTTTTCATCAAAACATATGCTGATCACACATGTAGCTGAGGCACACAGTACTTTCGGTAATAGCGATGGACATATGGTTGTGTGTGGAATTTGTGAGCAGAAATTTGCCAATTCAACTTTGCTAGTAGCGCATATGAGCACGACACATTCATCCTCCGAAATGCCATATCGTTGTGAAAATTGTGGATATAGAACATCATCTCATAAAGATGCAGTTGATCATTTTTATAAGACTCATGAGAGAGGGGACTCCCTCCAGTGTCCATATTGTTTAAAGGTAATGCAGTTTTGTATAGAGGGGACTCCTATTTCTGCTAATATTCAGGCGTATTTGGTACACATGCAGAGGCATGTCCTCAGAAGAGAACAGGGTCGGGGCAACAAGTGCTCTAGATGTTGCCTCTGGTTTAATCAGAAAAGTGCTCTCAAGCAGCATCAAATTGATCTCCATATGCCTTGGCTTGGCAGCAAAGAAATCCCCTCTGTACCCGATGAAAAACGTATAATGATTCCGAAATTTAGGCATCAGTTGAAAAGAATTGATCTTGGTGCAGCTCCTCCAGAATTGCCGGATAATGAGGCATTCGACAGATGGAGCAATCCTATTATTGTTAACGTTACCAGCTTCCATTATCATTTCCGATGTCAGGAATGTGAAGAGGATATCGATGAGGAAGATCATTATCCGGGAGAGCAGAAGTGCCGTCAGTGTCGGTATGTCACCTGCTGTTGGAGAGCCTTTAAGGAACATCAGCAACAAATTCATAATGAACGTCCTATGACTAGTCTTATCGTTCCTTCTCCGCTCATAAATATTCCACTCGAGAAGAAGATGAAGTGCTCATGTGGATATGCCACTAAGGACGGTAATTTATTGGCTACACATTTTGTTAAGTGTAAGAAAGTCTCGGGGGGCATTGAAGTGAGGGGTTCAACTGGAATGCTCGATAGCCTCGGACTTGTACCTAAAAATTCAACGTAAATTGTGCACATGATCATAACAAACGCTCTTTTTCATATGTTCATATGTTCATATGCTTGGGAAAATTTTTATATTTTCTCATTTTTAAATCAACTAAATCGAATTTTTGTCCATTACTCCTCTGTAATTGAAATCTGTGAGATTCTATATGATCGTCCTGACTAACTACTATGTCACAATGTCACCATGTCCGAACACAAACCACACAAATCTTGAAATAAAATTTCATTATCACCACATCATTGTATTATTCATTTTTATCATTTTCAAGTGTAATTTAAGTGTATTTTCAAATATACCCTATATAATATATAGTAGATTTTACCAAACAATACACGATTGGACTGTTTTATGCATGAACATTTCCATTTCTACATTTTCCATCGTAGTATTCGATTGATAAATAATATGACTGGGCTTAATGAAGGAAGACTGCAACTATTTATATTATGAATTTTTATTTTGCAATAATGATTGATGATTGAATTTCAGCAAGGATTTTTTTTTTTAGGCTGTCTTTAATCTTTGCGATTTAATAGGGTTAAATATTGAATAATTGAAACAGTTGAATTACTTATTTCATGGTTATTATTAAATTCCAAATTCAGCTTTTATAACATTTGATCGGTTTCGTCTCATTGGCTCTTACCGTTCTGTCGATTCGAGAAACTTTAATAATGAATGCGTCAATATTTTTCTTAGTTTTACATTTTTTACTTTTTTTTTTTGTATTTTTTTCTGATTTTTCATCTTTTTTTTTGGTAAATTTTTAAAATATTTTTATATGCTGAGTAACACAGATGCCGCACTCATTACTGTGAATCCTTCAAAGCTAATCGATTCGGAATTATCATTATTATAATAAACTACAATTGTATAAATGAACAAGAAAATAATATGTTGATTATTTGACTGAGATATATTAATGACAATTGACAAAAAATCCCGTGTTTCATTAGTATACTGTCGAACGATGATGAATCAAAATAATAAATAATTTCACCTAGCAGCTGGGTTAGTGATTTTCCGAACTTATTTCGGCTTTTTTCAATTGTATTTATTTTTATTATTATTTCCTCCATCTGTTATAGGATTGCCTTAATTGTAGAAAATCCATATAATTAACGTTAAAAGATTAATTTGATTGACATTTGCATCTGATTCACGCTGCAGTTAAAATAGTCTTGAGTATTGGCCAATATCGGTGAAAAAATTGATTGAAATTTGTTATGAATTTGATAGCTCGCGGCTTCGTTAGGGCGTGAAGAGGGTAGAAAAATGTGACCGCTTTGATATCTCTATGTATGTATACATCTGTAAAGCCATAGTAACAAAATACCAAAGAGGGGATTATAATTGTCATTGAAATATCACACCAAATATGTGAATAATTATAAATCATCCTACGTTCAATCCTAGAATACATATATTACTAAATTGCAGATAATACTTATAATGCATCTTATAATATAATTAATTAATTAATTGGGAGAATAATTCCGAATCTGCCACAGAGATTAACAGTGAGATTTCACAATAACAAGTTTTCGCGAATGGCGTCGATTAGATCTATAATTGATGATTTAAAGACTTATTTTGCATCATATATATAATCTATGCCACTCTGAAATACGTAGGGGTGACGAAAAGCTTTTATTTCTCAGTGAGCTTTTTAATCAGAGTCGATGTTGGTTGATTGCTTCAGAGAATTCAAAATTGAAAGCATTTTCATATAATTGAAGAGTTCTACATTTTTCCAACTATACTTTGTCGTTCACTTAATTTCATCAATTTCTTCATTAATTATCCCTTCTAGATTGATCTGCTGTGTCCGATTAGATTAACATGGTTGAGATATTCATTGGCTCCTCATCACGTAACAAATCATTTGAAATTTTTCACATCATTAAGAATCGTATAGTGCGATTTTCTGAGGAACACCAATAAATTCAAATTATCTATTCAAAAAGATTCTTCGGCAATTTACTTGGTTTGTTTGGTTGAATTAAGGGGCTAGATCCTTTTTCCTCCATCTAAAGGACATACATGTACTGCTCACTAGTTTTCAACAATGTTGGCGCACCACAAACTCAAATTATAATGATTTTAATGTGGAGGGGGGGAATTATTTTCGTTCCAATTACTTTGAAATTGTTGAAGGGATAAATTTTGGAGTTTGACAATTACTCCACGGTGTACAACATGTAGAGATTGCCCGAGTCGCAGTTGGGTGGAATGAGTACATGGTTCGGGGGCAGGACGTGAAAGCCCAGGAACATGAAAGTTCGAACCAGCATAGCTGAAAAAAAAAATGTTTTTTTTTTCATTAATTTTTCGCTTAACCCTTTACGATTTTGTTTTATAGATGGCAAGTTTGGAATAAGTGGTAAATCTATTCGACGGAAGACATATTGCCGTTAATGATATTTTTATGTTCTCATTTGTACCGATTTCACTGATACTGATGACTTAACGGAACGAACACTTTTCAATAAATATTGTTCTTAATCGTGCGAGTATCCCCTTACCCACGGTACTCACGTTACTTGAAGGAGTAAAAAGATTTTAAGATATTCATCATTTCCCACAAACGAATTTTACCACTTGACTGCTACATTCCTAATTCATCCTATTGAAATATTGAATTAGCATCGTGTCATTCTAGCAGACATGCGCTCATTTTTGCCGTTCCATGACTTTACATTTCTGCGAGAGAGAGAGAGAGAGAGAGTGCCCCCGGTGGCTAAGAGATTTTGGGGTGACTATAGCGTCATGTTGTTCATTTCAATAGGCCTCGAACAGTATTAAAATTATTACCTCGATCAGGGCGATCTTTGCGTAGGCAAACGACAATGTTGTTGCAGTTAAGTACCTCCTCGGCATACTCCAAGAGTGACACAAATCCTTCTTTGGAGCCCTCGGGAAGAAGACAAGTGGGCACGCCGATGTAGAGTGTACCACGCCATATCAGCGTCTCCCATTCGACTGCAGTAGTCTCAGTTAAATGTAGAGTGAACTTCAAACGTAGTGATTCTGTATTTTTAATAGCTTTCAATAGTTCTTCCTCCTTTAATCCAAAAAGTACCAACGCTATTAATATATTTATCATTTCAACATTTTTTTTTTCTTAAAAATTACTACTTTAAATAACGTTGTTTCTGCTTATCCTACTTCGTCTCGTATCCTACTTAGTTCTCAGATATCATTCCACCAACTCAAACTTCGAACATGCAGCCCTGCTATGAATATAAATATAAAACAAAACGAAAATGGAGTGTCGTTAGAACACTTAAGAAATCGACATCTCTTCAACAATATATCCAGGTAATATTTTCGACCATCTCTCAGACATCTAAAATCAATCCAATCTAACATTCTAATCCATCTTAAGCGAATTAACGTATGTTAATGTTAATGTTAATGTTCCCAGAATTCCAATAATATATATCCGTCATTAATGAATTTAATCGTGATGATTCGCCATCATGTTGTTCTTGAAAGCAAATTTTCATGTTCAAATTATGTTGGGGTGAATGAGGAGGAAGTGAGCAAAGAGGATTATCTTTTTCAATGCGATATTTGCTTACGATGGGAGAACCATTGACTTCAAGCTAAATTCTATTACGACGATTGTAAAGTCGATGAAAAATCTACACAATGAAAGAAAAAGGGTCAATTGAACGTGTTCTTAATAAAAATTCAATACAAACTTGCTTTCGAAAGTTTTTTCTTCGTTGGATTATACTCTTGAGTCCGGCCACTGATGGTTCGAGTCATTCCGGATTTGAATTATGGAAAACGAGTACAATGTTCCTTATGATTTCATATGATATGGTCATGTTTGCTAATAAAAGACCAATATCTTTTTGAATGGCCAAGCATTTAATACAATATTAAAATAGCTACTCTTACAGTAACAAGGATCATTTGACCATTTGAGTAAACGGTATATTTGAGTTACTAAAACTTACTTATTAAAACATATCGGAATCCCACAATTTTTACATTCCAAAGGAAAATCTATTCTTTATCGTCGAATTTGCCCTTTTTTTCAAATATTCAAATGAACATTCCTTAAGGTACTCAGTCGAATTTTGGAATTGAGCCAACCATAAGCCAACATTGAACCACCATTATATATATAGATGATGTACCGATAGTACTAACTTAGAAATGTTCAAGGAGCTTGATGTTCCTTATAGCTAAATTTTTATAATATTAAATATTACAAATAACGTACATTTATACCTACACCTATAATATTCTACACCTGCATGAAGAATTCTCCCCTTGCAATAGTATTTTTAACAACTTACATTATAAAATAATGTGTTCGATTAATCTACACGGTCAATTTTAACACCGGATATGTCGTAGGCAGAACATTGGAAAAAAAAAGAAAAATGATGACAGGAAGATTTTGCAATTTAAAAAATGTGACTTTTTTGTTAAGTGAAATGATTCATGTCCATGATAGAGCTTGACAAAGTTATGCAATAGTTTACTTCATCCTTTTTTTTTATTGGGTCATTCTAAAAGGAGAGATCTGGTGTTGATGAGTTTTCAATGTTTTAACCAGTAAGTATGGTTCTTTAATTTAAAGAATTACATAAATGAGAATTCATTCAATTCAATTAAATTCATTCATGACGGACATATACTGCCTTTTCACTTCTCACTCTGGCAACCCTTGGACACTATAAAAGGGACTGAGAATAGCCTCAAAGAAGAGACCTCGCCCTCAACGTTTATCCAATGGTAGAGAAAGAGGAGTGGAGAGTTGTAAAATCGAGTGTAATACTTTTATTATGATAGTTTTCTCAATTGAGGAATGCAATATAGTCCGCATGGACTATCCATTAGATGCAAATGTGGCTTGGCTTATTAACTCACTGAAACAATGTGCGAGCTCACAGAGAGCTGACTCTGTTTAATCCCCACGCCGCGGCTCTCTGTGTTGACTGCAGATACAGACAATGCGGCATGGGGCGCATCAGGACCACCACAGAGGCCCCACACCCAGCGTTATGGAGTAGTATTGTTGAGCTCCAATGCTTTCTACGAGGTTCTCTTCCATTGATTTACTTGATGACTCCCTGAAATCATTATAAACAAAGTGCTTAAATGTTTGTATGCATTGTCATTTCTTGAAAAATCAATTGTTCAACTGTTAAATGCATTGACCATTGACCATGTGTCCAATTCGAAAACTCGTTGAAAATTCTCAGAAATTTCTTATTATGAGGTATGTTTGGAATTAATTGAGATAGAGGTCATCGAAACGAATATTATAAGAAAAGAAAAAATTTTATTGATTATGTAGTTTGAGATATTCAACAACATGTTTTCAGATACGAAATTCAATATCTCCTGAACATCCGAGTCAGCTCATTTTCCATATGAAACATTGTGTGAAATTTTCTCAACGAATTATCAATTTAGCTCATTTTCAGTCTTCAACCTTTCACTGCTCGCAATTGAAATATCTAATGATTCGATTCAGCCCTCCTTTAATTTCAAGTTTCAAGTTGGTGGATGGGCATCGAGCGCATCGAGAATATTTCGAGAGGTGAAAAATTGAAAAAGGTTGGATAGTTTTTTAGATTCTCAAGGAAATCCATTTTGATCCCACATAGTGGGATATCACACGAAGTAATGATCCGATTCAGCCGTTCTTCCATAATGAACATTTAATTACTAAAAACAAATTTGAACCCAAATTTCAATTTTTTACAACGCACCAATTAATTGCATCAATGCAATTAAAACCCATTAAGCTGCGTGCGGAATAAAAGGGGTGGACCGCAAGAATGGTTAATATTAGAGCATTGTTTTTATGAGAAAAGAAACAGAAACTGGTAGATAAATTTGCCCAATATTGGCTATATGCCAATATTTTTTTATTTCCAGTTGAATGAGCTGAAGCGATGCAGTTCATTTTCTTGACATTCACCCCATAAACAACGATAGTTTTTAATTAATTTAGGTGTCTGCCGGTTGGAGTCAAGTTTAAACATGGTATATTATTCAGGGCATTGGTATGCATTGATTGGTATTTTTTCATCAACAGCCGAAATACGTTAGGGTCAAGGTCTAAATTGACTAGACTAGATAGAAGTGAAAAATGACGGAAAAATGAAAAAAATTTAATTTTTAGTACATATGGGTGTAGAACAGCTGTAAACAATGATCTCTGAGGAAGAGAAGAACAGAGGGCTCTTTCATGAGATGAATTCTTTTGGTTTTTGAACTAGGTTTAGTCTCTTGAAGAGATCTATAGTCTCTATAGTATAGAGTACAGACATTCCTTCCTCATGCTATTTTAAAGAATAAAACCATTTAAGTCTAGTGCACTGCAACAACGCATTCAACAATTATTTATATTTCTCACGTCCTACATATTAAAATTCGGTAAAGTTATTAACAAAAACATATTATGAGTTTTGCCGCTCATCACCTCATCAATTCACACGTGAAATAGAACAAAGAAAAGAAAATTTACTGATTGAAAAAAAAAAAGTTTTTTAAGAATATTTTGGAATCTCGATGAGATGAAGAATTTGTGGTTGAAATTTTATTTGAAGAGGGACTGCGAGAAAACGCTCGAAAATTTAACACCCAGTATTGTCTATATTGTCCATTTAATAATTGTGTGATTATTGTTGAGTGTCTCTTCTGCCTGATTAATACGTTCATTAACCGAACTACTGATAATTTACTAAAAAATCATTTGGTCATATTGGCTGTTAAGAAAATGGTAAATTCAACCGAAAAAGGCTGAGCTGGATGATTGATTGTACAAATTCTATATCCATTTATAAGTCATCTGAATGTCTATTGGAATACTGTCCTTCTCTGTCGACATCCGATAAAATATTAGTTTATTTTATTTATTTATTATTTATTTGAATTCCTATGACCATTGCTCAAAGGAGTCGCGATTCCATCCGAGGACTCTCGATCTCACATGACCATCAAAACCTTGAAACATTTAATTGCGTTTCAATCAAAACTCTTCAAAACGTATCCCAGTTTCGCTAATATTCATCAGGAAAAAAATTTTACATTCAATTATCGATTAATTTTTCCAACATTTCTCAGGATTCGAGTGGAATACCAAGTGTTCAATTAGAATCAAAAAGTCATCTCTCTCCTTTCAATTTATGAAATTATCAAGATATTTGTGAAAAAACTGAAAATGGATGTCTGTTTTACTCTGTTTCTTCCGTTTTCTGCAGGAATTCCAATCTTTACGATATTTCTAACCTCAAACTGGCTCCAAACTGGTCCCATGACTTTAGTTGGAATGTAAATCTCAATGGTTCTTAAATACATTTGGAGCTTCTCATCACGTGCCTATTTTAGAACTTATTCCAACTAAAGCATCGAATGAAAATTGAAAATTAATGTCTCGTCAATAGAAACATTATATATTTAAGCATTTTATTTTAAAATATTACAAATAGATAATGTATGAAATGATAATAAGCAATTTGAGACATTTTATTAGAGAACAAAATAAATACTGTAATTTCATAGGATTATATTTCAATGTTCTTTGTATTTTTTTAGCAGGATAATTAATTTTCTTTAGATTCTCTCTCTATAAAAACGTGTGGACTTTTAATGCATTTATAATTTGGGATTTATCAAAATTTCTGGCTCAATCTATTTATTGACCAAGCCATTATCATCTGTTATCTTTGATAATGCGATTGTGTTAATGGATTTTTCGATGACATACTATTTCAATGATAGCTAGTCAGATTGCGTTATGTGATATGATCACCTATTGTGTATTCTTTCAAGCTGAAATATCAATTTGCCAAGTATATCAGTAAATCTGCTTAAATTCTGTTAATTCATATTTTTTCCATAATAAACGTATACTAGACATCGATGGATGTCATACAAATCTTGTTAAAACATCACATATCGTTCCAATAAAATTATTACAAGATGGCGTCTGTGTTAATAAAGCCCTCTGTGTCATAACAATAATGTGAAATATCTCAACTTACCAATTACTAGAAATTAAACTCGGCATGGCTTGATCGTTTTTATTGGCTTTCCAATTACTCAATAAAATAACAGAGCTAATACTCATACTTCTTTTTTCGTAAAATCTTGATAGATTTTATTGAACTCACAGGGAAAAGTCTCTCGGTTTTTGCTTCGAGAAAGAAATAATAACGCCAATGTGGTTGTTAGGTACACGTCACGTCGTAAATTACGTTCCTAGAATGTGGATACTTTCACAACGTTAGAAACGACTATACGAGGGATAATATATATAATGTATGTATGCATGTAGTTATTTTGGTGTGTGTGAGCTTCTCAGCCTGAGTTCTTCACTAGTATATAGATAGCAGCACTTCTGTACATTTCTGTTAGCCGAGGTAGCAGTATCCTATTAGACGACATTTTCTCTAATTCCTTATCAGATCATTCTACAGATCATTCTACATCTTCTACATTCTTTTTCCATGTTCAACAGTTTTTAATTCATTAAAACATTACTATTTATTTTGTTATTAATTTATAATGAAAATATTATATGGGAAGTCGGCCATGTTGGCCGACAAATTTATTAAAATTCAATTTTATCATTTAATTTTTTAAAATGCATTGCCAATGGTTTGTAGAATCTAATTCACGTTAATTTATTGTTTGAGAGTAAATATTTTGCCTCTAATAATTTCATTTCCCTTTGTGATGACTAGACAAAAACACGACCATAGGCTCTCTCTCTCTCTCTCTTTCTCTTTCTCATAACGAACATTTACTCTAAAACAATAAATTTAAGCGAATTCGATTCTACAAACGATTTACAATCGATAAAAAAAGACAATAACTAAACAATGGAATTTTCGAAAATTTGTTCCTCCACTTTCTTCTAATATTATGATTAATTAATTAGAAAAAATTTATTAACACATAAAGAACATAAAAAAATGATGCACAGTAGGCCATTACCTGCTAAGAAATTATAAATAATTTTATATGGTTATTTATTTAATTGAGAATAATAGTGTGGCGACTCCGAATTGGCCTAGCACCAGCGCAGGGAGTGTTGCGCCAGTGCCACGCATACATAGTTTAGCGCCACGCGATACATAACGCTTCACGTATAGCGAACATTCCAAGACATTTAATTGTATTAATCTTGTTAACTAGTCTTATGACTTTTGCAATAAATATATAATTGTTGACAGTTGAGTTGATTCAAGCATCCTGGGGAAAATTGGTTAGACAGCTAAAATCAGTGGCTAAAATAGAGGATACCACTAAACGCCACCTATCGGCAGCAGTAATATAATAATATATACATATATCAGAAGCAGAACACGTGTATGTAGATTGTATAGTTAATTGATACTGTGATCGTTTTTGAGTACGGTGAAACGTGCTTGGACGAGTGTATTTAAACTTAATTTTCTCAATGATTTACACAAATAAAGAAAGTTTTCATTATGACTGTCTGTAAAATTCATCATGTGAAATTTTATAATTTGGCCCCAAGAGCAATCACCTGTTTTTCATATGAGAAAGAAAGCAAAAAGTTAGCACTTTCGAGGTTAGTTCTCTGTTATTAAAATCTTTCAAATTATTTAAACTAAAAATACTTGATATTGGATATTACGACACGAATGAAAAAACAAAAGGCACATTTTTTTATGTCATTGCGGCCAGAAAAACGCGTTTCTAACCTCGCTTCGCTCGGATAAAAACGCGTTTTCGGCCACAAGGACATAAAATAGCATCATAGCCACGGCGAAAAAGGCGATTCTGACTCATGCGCGTTATAATCCTCGTCTCTGACTCGGACTATAAAGTTGCATTCGTCAGATTCCCTTTTTTCGTCCTAGGCGTGAAATATACTATTCTGTTGTTCGTGAGAAAAAGGCAGCTCTTTTCACTCAACTGAATTTTGAAATTATTTGAAAAATAATAGTTGGAGCTGCCCCGGCATTCAATAAAGCGATCCCAAAAAATACTTATCCGCTCCTTTTATATTTATGCATAAAATGTATATTCTGTATAATAAAGGTTGAAACTTGGTATGTCTTTGGACCTTTTACACATCCTTCCCTGTACCCATTATATTGGATTATACAATAGTTTTCTAAATATCTATATTAGACCAAAGCAATATCAGTGTGACTTGTCAGAATTATCTCAACTAGGAAAGAAATGCATTTGATTTTCTCATTTTTGAAAAACCTTCATTTCTAAGTAATCAATAAAATTATAGAAAAGAGCTATAAAAAAATGTTTTTTTTTTTTTTGTAAAAAATCGGTGTTGACGGCTTAGCGTTCGTAAAAACTGTTATACTAATTTGAAATTTAGGTTTGAAATTGTTCTTTAATTCCTCAAATAAAGTGTTGAAAAAATGTATTAGCAATAAAAAATAGGATGACCGGAAAGGTGAGAAAGTGGGGAAATTTAGTAGAAAATTAAAACTGTGTAAAACTGGTCGAGAATTTGAAAATATCTGTTGAGATATGGTTGCAAATGTTTCTACTAAATTTCTCATGTTATCAAGTACAATACTAATGATAAACGATATATTTCAGAAATGACAACACAATCGAGATATGGAATATATGTCAGACGGCATTTTTAGAAGGGAGCATTGCTGGTACAGCGCGCAACTCGATCGAGTCTCTACTCTGGATTGGCCGGCACCGTCTCATTTCAACAGGTCTGTTGGGCTTCATAACGGAGTACGACTTAATTAGTGCAAAAGCCAAATATTCAACTGCAGTGACGGGAGGTGCAGCTTGGTGTCTCGATGTCAATCCTTTGCGTACTCGCATCGCCGTGGGTACGGAGGATGGTTATGTCAACACTTTTACAATAACGCAAGATGGTTTGCTCTATGAAAAGATCTTTGACAAGCAAAAAGGGAGAATCCTATGCTTGAAATGGGACAATACAGGTGATATGATCTTCACTGGTTCAAATGATACAGTCCGAGTGTGGAATGCTAACTCTGGGCATGCCATTTATAAAATGATGACCGGAAGGAAACAAATCAAGAACGAAACTATAGTCTGGTGTTTGGGAGTAACTAATGAAAATAATCTTATTTCCGGAGATTCCCGAGGAGTTTTGTCGGTTTGGGATTCCGCAACAGGAACATTAATCGAATCTCATGAGTCTCATACAGCTGATATCCTTTGTTTAGCAGTAGCAGAAGACTCCAACGTCATATATATAGCTGGAATAGACCCAGTCATTAGAAGCTTTTCAAAAGTCCTTCTCAAGTCCTCAGGCAGGTCTCAATGGGTTAAAGGCATTGAACGAAGGCTCCATATTCATGACGTTAGAGCATTAGTCGAAGCAGATGGCAAATTATATTCGGCTGGTGTTGATGGCTATTTGGCCCAGTCCAGTTATCCTCCTAAAAATTTGGTCAAATATCCCCCATTACTGGCCAATCCATGTGTCAGTCTTTGTACAAAATCCCGATCTATTTTACTACGTTATCCTAATTATCTTGAGTTATGGAGACTTGGATTGTTAAATACTGCTGATTCTACTGCAAAAAATGGGCATATTAACGAAAAGAGCGGTATGATTTATCAATTGGAGGAAGAACCCATTAAATTGCTGGAGCTTAGGACTAAGAAAAATGAAGCAATTATTTCGTATGCAATTAGCAAGGATTCAAAGATGATCATTTACTCGACTGATACTCACGTTAGAGTATTTAATTTTGACATTGTTGAAGGTGAGGCAATGCTCACTAAAAATGAGACTCAATTGGGCCTTGAAAGAATTCAGATGATGAAGTTTAGTCCAAATGATAAATTTTTAGTCACTATTAATAATGAGAATGGTGTTACCGAGATGAAGCTCTTTGAAATTGACAAGACGATATTACGACCAAAGTATTCGTTCAACAGTGAAAAACATAAATTGAAGTGTATTGGACTCGTGTGTTTCTCGTCGGATAGCAAAATGTAAAACGGGAGAGAACCACACGCAACAATAGCGACATACACGGAGAAAAAAACGAAAACAAGAATGGACAATAAAGCAAACACGCCAAACACCCAACAAGAACAACCCAAGCAGAGGGCTGCAAAAAGAAAAACCAACAACGACATCAAGGGGTACAAGAAACATAAGAACCCACCAACCAACAAAAAACTCCATACTTCCAGTATTCACCATCAAGATGGGCATCACCATAGGGACCAATCAGTCACAACCAAGCAGCAAACAAAACGGGAGGACTCGACACAGGAATACAAAACAATGAATACGAAAGTGACACAAAAAAAACATGGACTACGCTGGCACAGAACGCAAAAGTAAAAAAACACTAACAACGAAGCCATCAACCAAAAAGAATAAAGAAGGCCAGAACAAAGAATACTGAAAGGCTCGAAGAAAAAAAAATAGCAAGATCAACGAAATAAAAACCAAATACCCACTACTAAGACAAAGGAACTTGGATGTCCAAAAATGGATAACTTGCAGAGCATAAAAGACGAGATAACAAGACGACAAGACAAAAACCCAACAAACAATGCACAAACGAGAATACCGAAAAACTGAAAGACACGAACGTGAAAAATAGTCAAGAATACCTGCAAAACTAATGAAAAGAATGCTACCAGCTTAAAAGATGAAAAAACAAGACACAAGAGCAAAAAGAATAAATGCAAAAAAGGAGGCGGCAAACAAGCGAGGAGAAAAAACAAGGACAAGGATAGGAAAACCAACCAAAGCACCCACAAACAAAACAACAGACAACAAACTAAAAAAGATAAGGAAAACACAGGAACTCAACTGGGGCAGATCAGCTCCACGAACCACCAACACAAAAAACAAACTGAAAATAAGGGAAACGATTACAATAAAAAAGTATCAGAGACAACAAAACACTGAAACAAGAAGGCACAAAAATAATTAACAAAAATATGCAAAAAACTCAAAAAAAAACAAAATGAAAAACAACAAACAATTAAGAAATAAAATAACGACCAAAGAAAATTGAACATCCCATCATAGACACACAACAAAAAAAGATGATTGGGAAAAAACCATATGAGAAAAAGACAAAAACACAAAAGTGAGCAACAAGTTACAATCACACAAAATCAAATCACCTGAACTGAAAAATCAACACCACCACTCAAACAAAAGTCATAACATTCATCCGAAAAAGCAAGCTTTCCACAAATCCAAAGTCTGAAAGAACAAACAAAAAAAGGACTATGCAGTAAACCTGAATTCGACCAGTTGGAGCAAAGGGAATATTGTAAAACGAGGACAATCAAAAAAGCTGAAAAAGAAAACCAAAATATGGACAGCAAACAAAAAGCGCCAGCCAACCGGACACGAACAAGGAATGGAAAAGAACAAAGAAGACTTAACACCCACCAGACAATCATGAAGAAAATCAGTCAAAAATCACAGAGAAAAAGAAAAGTAACAAGAAAGAGTCATCAACCTACACTCCACAGAAAACAACAGAGAAACAAATAAATCACAACATCAGAAAATGCAAAAAAAGATAGAGAGGAAAGCGAAAATAACAAAAACGATACACACACTACATCAAACCAGTACAGCGAAAGAAAACAAAAACGCCAACGCCAGGCATATGAAGAGTGAACAGCAAAATGTGAAAAACCAAAAATGTAAAAAAAAAAATCAGAAAAAAAAAAAAATAGAATAGAAAAACAATACAAGCAATAAATAAAAAAACCCACAATTAGAAAATCATATACAAAACACAATGCGAAACTCAACGTCCAACCCGCGAGAGAGGAAAACCCAAAAACTACCAAACTCCCAATTGATCTCCCCAAAAACCAAGAAAAAAAGGTAGAAAATAAACTAAAGCAAGGGGACAAAACAACGCGACGCACGCACAAAAAAAGCAACCAGCCACAGATACAGGCACACACAAAAAACACAAAATCACGCCGAGCACCACAACCGCGCCCAGCGGCGAACTAATATCAAGAACCCCCCCTTAACACCCAATAGAACAATCCTATTCAGGAATCGACCAGTAGAGGCGTCAGCAACTAGTACAAATAGATTCCCGACAAGCGACCAAAAAGCGAAAACCACCAAACCCGCCAAACAAACACATGCGCACAGCCAACGGAGAGAAAAAAGACCACAAACAAATAAAGAAAAAAACCACAAAAATGACCAACACATTCGGTAATCGTCAGAGCATTGAGCCGCAAAACTACCAAGTACCCGAAAAATATCATAAAAAAAGGTAGAATGAACTGACTGTTAAGTAAAGAAAAACGAACAAATGCAGAAAAACCAACGAAAATTCAAAAAATCATAGCCCAACGGAGAAACAAACGATACCAATTCAATAATAAACATTTGGCACGGAATTGGAAAAACAAACCATAAACAAAACGGAAAAAAAATCAAAAGAAAAACGAGTCTACACCAAAAAAACAGAAAAAAGTGACCAAGAAGTCGACAAATATTACGACGAAGGAAGGCAACTCATCCACAGGATAAAAAAAAACCACAACAACAAAAAGATTCAAGAAATTTTACGCAATTTTCCACACAGTGGAAACAATCAAAGGAAAATAAACAATACAAATCAAGCAAATCAGAACGGCATGAATAAAGTGAAGGAGCAACACACAACACAACGCACGCTGAAGGAAGGAAAGTCAACAGGAAGAAACAAAGATTTGCGAATCTATAACAAGAAAGCAACTTCAATTAACAATAACAACAATCAAAGAAATCGAATCAAAATACAAAAGAAAATACATCGAAAAAGCAATAAAAAATCCGGTCGTGACTAAACACCGAGTGATAGACGAGAATCCAATGCCACAAGCAGCCAAGCACCAGTAAACACCCTGTTGAAGTAGCACTCATCAAGACACACCCAAAACAAGATAACATCACATAACCACCACAAAAATTGAAACAACAAGTAAGAAAAAAAAACAACAATAAAAAAAAAATGACAAACCACTCCACCCAAAGCCCAAAAAGACGCCTAGGCGCCAGCACTACAGCACAGGACGAAAGACGACAAAAAAACAGAAACCGGTCGCTGGCAAAAACCAGGGACAGAAAAGATCGATACATATGAAAAACAAAACAAAAAAACGACAAATAATGAAAACAAAAATAAAAAAAAGAAGATACAACCAGCAGGCCATCAGTACGCGAATGTGCACGAAACAATCAATTACAACAGACCTTTAAAGGGCAACCTAGCGATCACAAACCGAATGACAAAGGGAAAAAAAAAAAACCAAATGCCCCCAAACAGAAACGAGCCACAGCCCACTAGAAACAACTTCAAACCACGGAATCACGGATACAAAGAAAAAAAAACAAAGAAACAAATAAATATAAAAAGAAAAATAGAATCATCTGCAAATCACAGGAAAAAAAAGGTAAAAAACAGAAAGAGAAAACAAAGATCAGTAAGGTGAACAGCAAAATTACCGGACAAAAAAAACTAAGACAACAACCAACTAAAAGACATACAATCAATACATGCGACAAACCAAAAAGCCACAATAAATACAACAAACAGACTAACGCCAGGAACACAGAAAACGCCAGTGAAAAAAAACCCAAAGAGTAGCGACAAAAAAGAATGCAGGGAACAATGGCGCCCACAGGAAAAGACAGCAAACTCAAACAAATCCACAAATCCTGAAAAAACAGAAAAACTGCAGCCAAAAGTACGGGCAATGCAGCAGCGACACGAAACCAGAAAAAGCCATGATAATCAAACAAACATCAAATTCCCGATAAAAGGACCAAGGAGGCAAAGATGAGCGCAAAAAGAATCAACGCGCCACACGATTGCCCAAAACCTCCGACACAAAATCACAAAAAAGACCCCCAGGACAGAAACGTCGTACCGCAATGAAACAATGACACACAGGAAACCCCGGAACACTAAGCCGCAACGAACACCAACACCACGATGAGAATCATCTATATAACAGCCGCGAACACAGGCGCTCCAGACAGTACGCAAACAGTTCGCCTCGAATAACGAACGACCTGGCGGTGACTCTAACCAGCAAATGACACACACTCACAAACAGCAAGAAAACCCAGAAAGTCCAGCACACACGAACAACAAAACGAACAAGAATAGCCACAAAAGAAAAAGAGTGAAGGCAAGGAATCAAAATACAGTAAAAAAACCAAAAAACGAAAACGCAAACAAACGAGAAATACAAACAACTAAACCAACTAACCCGACACAAAAAAAACCCAAACAAAAAAAAAAAATAAAAAAAAATAAGAAAAACCCCATGCAACAGAATGAAAATACTCAAAAAAGCAAAAGCAAAACCCAGAAATAAAAAAAACAAAAGAACCATAACTAGAGAATCAGTGAACAAAAAAGACAAAACGAGCAAAAAAAAGAACCAACAAAACAACAAATAAGCAACGAGAAATACAAAGAAAAAACAACGGTCAATACAAAACACCAGACACAATAACAAAAACAATAAACAAAATCCACTCAAATAAAGACTACAAGATCATAAGGAATACTGAAGAAAAAAATAAAACAAAAGGTAACCCCCAAGAAACACCCAAAACAACAGAATTCCCCAGGCCAAACATAGAAGAGAAAAAGCTAAACAACAGAAACCAACAACAAGAAAAGAAAAAGAAACTAAAATAGCCTAAACAAATAATACCCCACAAACAACAGTCAGACGTAAAAAAGAGCCAAAACCAAACAGAAAGAACTAACGGCAAGACGTAGAAGAAAGCCCAACACCTCCAACCTAAAATAAAGAAAAAAGCGACAAGCCTACGTGACCCTCCAACAATAAAAGTGAAAACAAAAATGTACAAATCAAAAAAAAAAACTACAAGATCACGACAACATCAACACAGAAAATAAACAAAAAAATAGAAGAACAGAAGATGATCAAAGAGAACCAAATTGACAACATTACAAAAAACGGGAAAAACTCAGAATTCGAAACCAAAGAAACAAAAACAACAAAAACAATAACAAAAAATCAAGTAAATAAAAAAGCCAGTTCAAATCCAAATGAAACTATAACAAAACAAAGATGAACCAGAGAAAAAAAGAGAGCAATAAATACCACCATAGCTATAAAACACAAAGAAATAAAAGGGAATACACCAAAACCAAACTGAGCCACACAAACACTCGCGAAAACAATCCGCAAGACAAAACACTCGCAAAAAAATGCCCCAAAAAAAAATTCCCTACGCAAAAACCAAAACCACGGAAGCAAAAAGCCCGCGCAGCACGAAAAAGGTCTCGGAAAATATTAATGAAAAAAACAGCGCGAAAAATACTCAACTGCTCATATACTCAAACGAAAGAAAATAGAACACCAAATTCAGGGAACCCACCAAACCTAAAAGAATAAATAAATTATCAAAAAAAACAAAGAAAAAAACCCAACCAAAAGTGGGGAGCCGAAGTCTCGAACAAACAGTCCCGAGAAACAATAAGATCAGAAAGCACCAGCCGCAAAATATTCGCAATTGAAATACCACGAAGAAAAAGTGAAGGAAAACCACACACACAACTAAAAGCCAACCGGCGGTGTGAGCCAGACGAAAAAGTAAAACACGGGACAAATACGGTCCGGGGACGGGGTGACAAATCCCCGAAAAAAAAACAAAGTGAGGACACACAGTAAGACCAAGATCAAGAAAATAACGCAAAGGGGGCACCACAACAAAAAAAAGCCCACCACAACAAAAACAAAGCAACACAACTCGCTCAAAACCACAATAAAACAGCGAGCTCAAACCATCAGCCAAGAAAATCGCACAAGGAAATAGTCTGGTAACACGCTAAAAAATGCAACCAGAAAAAAAACCCAGATGAACTTAATCCTACAGACGACGAACGACCAACGAAAAAATCATTCGAACACCACAACCTTTACCGCTATCCTCCTGAACACTCCGATAAAACATCTTCAATGAACGCTCACAAACAAAAAAATACAAAAACGGAGAAACAAAGAAAAAATCCGCAGAATCGCCAACAAGGGCCGAAATCTCAATCCCCAAAAAAAACAAAGATATATAAAGAAGATGGGAAAAAGACCACAAAACTACAAAACGAAAACTACAAACATAAAAAACGAAAAACACATGAAAATAATACTCAACTAAACAAGTGAAATGTATCATACAAAAGTAATACTCAAACACAAAGAAGGGAAACAGACACGTAGCCCGGAGAAGAGCAAGAAAGTCCACGTACAAATCCAATAAAGAACAGAACCACACCAATTATAAACGTACGATCAGAAAGGAGAAAAAAAGGCAAAGCCAAACAAACACAGAAGGAAAGAACCACACATGACGCCCACGAAAAAAGGTAAAACGGGAAAAAAAGCCAAAGCGATTAAAACAAAAACAAACAGAAAAATCAACACAAAAACAAAAAAAATACTGAAGAAGAAAAAAAAAACGAAGCAACAAAAAAAACATCAAAAAAATCGTAAAATTAAACACCCCAAATGCAGAACAAATTGGAACCCAAGTAAAAAAATTTACAAAAGATAACAACCATACCGAAAAAAAGGCCAAGAAAAAAAAAAAAAAAAAAAAAAAAATTAACGAACGAGGTGCAAACCGAAAAGAAAAAAGGAACATTACTCAAAAATAACAGTAAAAAAAAAAGTTCCTAAAAAAAAAAAAGAAAAACAAGCAAAAGAAAATCCTGAATAAATAAAACCGGGACAAAAAAAAAAGAAAAATACGGAAATCAATAACGACAGCTAAAACAAAAAAGCCGGAGAACAAACAAAACGTCCAACATCCCAATCCAAAACAAAAAAAAACATCATCGCCAAGAAAACGTCAAAATTTCCATCATTCACCCAATCCCCACAAAAAACCGCCCGCACAACAAAAAAAAAAAAAAAAAAAAACGACACAAACCAACAGATCAAGCACAAGAAAGAAGCTCACACTATCCTAAGAAGCGATACTCAACAAAGAAGCATCAATAGAGACGAAGATCGGTCAGAGCACCATTAACTGAAATCCCGATAAACGAAACAAAGAACAAAGGGAAAACAGAGGTAATAAAAAACGCAGAAACAAGAACGCGAAAACCACGAGGAACACACCCAATTGTAGAATCAGGCACCATACTACAAAAAAGACGTGACGGAAAGAACAAAACAACCAAAGAGAAAATTAACACAGTGGCAAAAGCACAAATAGATGACCGTCAGAAACAAAACTGAAACAGACCCAATCGGAATCCGTACAAAACAAAAAAACAATAGTTAGCAAATAGCAAATTTTGAGTACGTAGTGCCGAATGAACAAAAAATGAAAAACAAGATCACAAATAATTCCAAGAAAAAGATATACATAATAAGAACAAAAAAAACAACAACAAAGCACAAAAAGAAACTAACAAAACTCATTACGGTAAAACCAACCAAGAGAATGGGAGCACCAGGATCGATCTGCAAGCAAAGAAAAAGACCCTCGACTATGAAGAAAACAGAAAAAAAATTACAAAAACGGTCCCAAAAATTAACAAAAAAGAAAAAAATTAAAAAACTAAAGCAAAGAACAATTACCTTCCCACAAGTAAAAAAGAAAAAAAAAAAAAAAACAAAATCATAAGACTCACCAATGCCAAACAAAGCGTCAAATAGTAAATAAAAACACAAGGCCAAAAAAAGAAGATACACGAAAAGAAGGAAGATAAGCCGAAGGCGACACGAGACGAGAAGGACCAACCAGACGGCAGCAACACGCCAAACGCACCCAAAACCCACACTATCAGCAAAACGACACAAACGACCGACTGACACAAACGAGCGATTGCCACAAAGGCCCGAGGGAGACAGGGGGCGGGGGGAGACCGGAGCCCCCCCCCAAAAAAAAAAAACAAATCAACAACATTGACAAAATTTGTTCATAACAAAACTTAACTTCAAATACATGACAAACTTTTTGGTTTAAATTATGCTTAATGAATATCAATCTTTTTCAATGGTTACATTTTTGGTTCCTTATCGTTCTCACGCTCCGCAAAAACAGTAATTGTTGAGCAATGATGAAAATGAAACTGGATCGGCTGATTAGTGTTCAACGAAAAATTCCTCAATTGTAGAGGCGTTGTTAGAACCTCATCGCCGTGATGTGCTGAAGTTGAAGCTGGTGAAACATCCTTGCTGCTAGCTTTCGCCTTCTTCGCAGCTGGTGGTTGGGAAATTCCATGCGAAGTCGAAGGGTGTTGAAATTCAGTTTTTGAAGAAGTTGACGGAAGTTCAAGGGCTGCTCGTGTGATTGTTGAGCCGATCTGGCCAGACATTTTTTTTCTTTGAGCTGCTGATTTGTCAACGTATCCTTCTGCACTTTTTGAACTTTTCCAGCCTCCCAATTTTTTCAAAGTCAGAAAATCTAGACCAGAATCGGCTGCGATGGTGGCTCCTGTACGCCGAAAAGAGTGACCTGTGTAAGAGTTACTATTGGGAAGCTGCAAGAAGGTGGCAATGTCCTTCGGAAGGCTTCCAATTTTGTGAACCCCCATGACCATTTGATGACATTCACCGTTGACGTACTTAATGAAAAAATTGCGTTTAGCAAATCCACTCGGCCTCAGACTCAAATATTTTTTTTAAATATTATAAAACTCTCCAGTCACAGAAAATTGACGATCAGTCCCATTTTTGGTTTTTGTCAGAGTAAAGTTCATGCAGGTTTTATGGTCCTCCATTTCGTCAAGTGTGATATTGTACAGCTCACTTCGACGACATAAGCCATTAAGTCCCAGAATCAATGCCACCTGAAAATAATTTAATTAATTTCACTTTTCTAGTTAATTTCAGGATTTAAATTAATTGATAATTACCTTTGTTGCTAAATAAGTATTGTCTGGGGCATCTCGCAGAAACTTAGCGATTTGTTCGTCTGTGAACGTGGTAGCTTTTTTCTTCTGATGTGTGGAATTCTTTTCATTAGCAGATAAAAAATGTTTAAGTTAATTGTACGAATCGATGTTGATAGAATCATACACATAGAGAGTTTTCTTCAACATCGAATAAATAGCCCAAAGTGAACCTGGTGCTTTGTTTTCGTCTCTAGCCAGCATGTTGAAATACCCCAGCAGAACAACTTCGTTTACTCCCCGAATTTTCTTGCCATCAATATAAGAGCGAAAATTATTGTATGTTCTATCATACACTGCTCTCGATTTTTTAGGAATAAGAGTAGCCTCGGCTTCGGCCGCATGATCTAAAACATCCTGGGGAATGTTTTCTGCGTTGGTTAGATTCTGCTCGTGATAAGTAAGGTTATGTGCTTGAATTGAACTCTGATAATTCAGAGAATGCACATTTGCAGCCATACTGCTATCACTTAAAGGTGTGTGAATCCAAACATCTGGATAATCACTCTTCTTGTGAGATACAGGGTTAGGTGACGTTTCGGCGATCCCTTGAGAGGATTCATCATCAGTCTCGGGAATTATATGAAAGCAGAAATCCTTGGATTTTGATTTCTGATGAAGGTCATCGTCGCTGTCTTTAGCCATTGTTTTTTCCCCAAAAACTTCACTTTTACACGACACTTGATTATTATTTCTCAAAAACAAATTCGTATGGTGACCGATATTCGTTGACGATAGACACTGATATAATTGACTGACGACCAGCAACGTGCAACGTCCTGATAAACAAGTGAGGAAGACAGGCTTAGGCCGATAAGTGACAAATCGCACAGGCCTAGGCCGATAAGTAAAGCGGACGATAAATGCCACCTATCGGTCCGAAAAGAGACCGATAAGTGGAGCTTTTCGGGCCTGAGTGACAAAAATTTTGTTCTCAGTGTGAATAACATATTGCGAATGGGGAATGAAAAATTTCTCTTATTGCATCCCATGAATCGAATAAGGCCTAATCCCGAGAAGATGCAACCTATCATAGAGTTTTCATCTCCCAGAGGCCCAACGCAACTTCGACAATCCAATGGCCTCCTCAATTGGTATCGCGGACATTTAAAAAATATCGCAAAAATTCAAAGCCTACTTACGAAATTAACCAGTCTAAGAGTCCCCTAGAAATGGACAGAACTTGAACAGAGATCGTTCGATAACGTTAAACAAGCGCTAATAAACGCCACGCACTCGTTTGTCCCAATTCCTGGGTAATTATTCATACTTTACACGGATGCCAGCGACTTTGGCCTAGGAGAGATTCTTGTCCAATGCGGCAAGGAAATTGACAGAGAAAATTTAAATGAAGTTTTGAGTCTATTGCGCTGGGTAGAAATGCATTACACTACTGCGCAGTGGAGAAACTTAGATGCTATTTCGAAGGGATAGCATTTAAAATCATAACAGACGACCAAGCCTTCAAATGGCTCTACTAATTGAAAAACCTGATCGGTCGCCTTGCTCGATTGTCGATTTACCTTTACCAACACGATATAACAATAGAACATCGACGAGGCACTGAGAATAAGGCCCCTAATGCTTTGTCAAAAATGTTTGACATTGATGTCGATCCCGGGAGGTGAGAGGAGACTCTTAACGAAACAATCCAAAACCGACCCCAGTTCAATTCTATTCGTACGGAGGATTGGTATTCGACAATCGGTTCAGACTCATCACGAAATACCCTGAACGCTTTTCTGAATGGAAAATAGAACAGAAAAGGCTGTAATAGACGATGAAAACCCGTGGAAAAGAGTCGCTAAACCATCTGACACGTTAAATGTTTTCGCGGAAAATCACGACGCCCCGAAAGCAGGTGATTTATAGGTCAGGAGAAAACTGTAGACAGGATCCACCAAAATTATTATTGGCCAGGGATGACGCGGGATGTAAGAAAATACATAGAAGAATGTGATATTTCTCTAAGAGTGAAATTAAACCAAAACCCAGAGTTTCGACATTCTTTCGAGACGGTTGTCAAAATTGAATAAGAATCGCGAGGTTGGCTTCCACATTAAGAGGGAAACAGAGGAATACTATCCAAATAAAAATCTGATTAATAGGACCCAAGGTTATTCGTCAAAGTTTGCTCACCGTTACGTTAGTCCGGTAGTTGTTAATCGAATAATAAACCCGTTAATCGTGGAACTGGCAGGACAAAGCAAGGAAAATTGTTGGCAAATACGATGTAACTGATTTAAAAATTCCTCGTCGTAGTTTGCGTCGTCATTTACCCTCGTCCTCATCATCACCAGTATGGGTGATGGCTCGATCCTGTCCAACAATCGAGCATTGGAAAATCGATTTGCAAAGCGAATCGAGATGGACGTAGCTGCCCAGTCCCTGACACTGGAGATTGAGGAAACCGAAAACGGAGGAAGCACTATCGCAGATACCGAGGAAATGGACGACAGTGATTTTGATGACAAACCACCCAGTTTACCATCACCGTCCAGCACAACGGACACCAAACAAGATTCAGGCCAACTGGACTTTGGGATGATGCAAAGGGTTAAATACTTATTGACTAACTCTTTGACAACAATAGCTGAAAAGCCAGAAATTATCAGGATTGAGGTCGCTCAACTTGTGGAGGCAATCCACAATATGCCGCCTCATAAATTAAAATTGATCTTCACAGAAAAAATTGTCAACCAGACCAAAATTGACCAAGAAAACCAGTTGAGGCACCGAATTCCACCCAGCGGGCACCCACTAAAATTGTCGGTCACTACCGGAAAAGTACTGCTACTGAGACTGGCTTCCTTGGATATCTACCTCTCTCTTGCTCTTTTTCCGCTCGCAGGCATAGTATCCTTTTGAGTTTGTCATTGTCTATACCATGATCTATACTGGCCCATCAAGCAGCCATATTGCTTCTAAAACAGGCCCATAAGATAAGTAGCAGAAGACAGAGGTGCAGGCTGATAAGTAATAAGTAATTTTGTACGATAATCGCTACTTATTGGTCTGAAAATGGCCTTGTAACAACCGCTTCTCGAACTTCAGTCACAAGAAAAATGATTCACGTTGGTATACCATTATAATATACTCAATGAAATAAGTGCATTTTGCTATGCCCCTGATTTTGGTCAAATGCGTTATTGTTGAATATTTTGGCATACAGCATTGCTAGCGTAACTGTATTATGCTGCCCAAGTAATGAGCCATGAACAATTATGTATTCAAGAGGCCGTTTGGGTATGCAGAGGGCAGATCGAAATCGGTCTTCGTCCTGACATGTCTTGATTGAATTATTGTAATCAGTCAGATGACATAATTAAAGCAATAAAACACTTTTCGACCCTGGTGCATATACTACTTTATGTATCAAGAGATAACAAGCGCGATCGAACCGAGCGAAGCGAGGTTAGGTTTTTTACGCCCGCTGGGAAATAAAGTCTCATTTAAATATCTATAAACTATTGGTGAGATTTATCCCTTCGAGTCTAATACCTACGATAATTCATAAACCTCTTTTTTCATATTTTGTTCAAGGTTATGGTTTTCAAATGTTAGAGACTCCCCGATTCCATTCGTATTAGGAGAAATTTTTCTAATGGTGAATTCGAATACTTTCGTTACCCCCTTACATAAAATATCACACCATCAAACCATCGATACATGACTTCAATAGCATACATACCATGAAGCGCGCTTGCAACGAAGACATACGGTGCACTACTCCCACGCTACTGATCGGCTATATCGGCCTGGATAGTAAGCACTCGCGACAGTTGGTTGTTGATTCGCCAGCAGAATTGGCCTTCCTGGTTGATTCTCCACTTAACCGGCTTGGAGCTTCCCCGTGCTTTTCGCCGATTAGAGGGTTTTCTCTTTTCTTAAGATTAAGAACTATTACCTAGGCAGCTATAGTGTACATAATGCTACTGTACATAATGCTACCTCTCTCCTATCCTTCCGTGGATTTGAGGACACGAGAAGGTTGCTCTCTAATGGGATACCGCTCCTCTATCAGATTGAGGAATGAATTAGGTCATCTTCTCATTTTCTCTCCTCTTTGCAGGGTTGAGAACAAGATGTGTCTCTTGGAGGATAGTTATTGACTGCCATCCAGGCTGGTCTCAATTAGCCTGCTCGTTATACGCCTCATATATTATTGCTTTCCATCGTCTTTAATAATCACCTCTTCGTATTTTATCATGTTCTATAAAATCAAAGCAAACAGCAAAGACAAGGAATTGTCCGTAACAAAAATGTATATGAAATTTTGGCAAGTACAGAAAAAATACCAATTCATTTTTTTTACTGAATTCTATGCAATTTTAATAATTAATAAAATGTCATTTTTATATTCTAATTTTTAATCCAATTAATACCTCAGTCCCTATGCGAAACATCCTTTTAAAATCAATCCATCAATTCTTTGACAAGTATTCTATCACATACATTTGTTCAAATATTGTAAAACCTGCAAACATGTTTTTTTTTTACTTTTTTTATATTTGTTGATAAAAAAGAAGTATTTTCCATTGCACTTTGGTATAAAAATGAAATTGTTACATGAATGTAACTGAATGTCACTCTCTTGCAATAAAAAAGTAGTCCCTTATTTTTCCAATAAAATCAATAATTGTTGAGTTATGATTAAATAAACAATTGCTTACACCCAGGAACCTTCAATTTCGTATGTTGCATAACTTTTAAAAAATAATTTGTTTTTCTGTTTTCTCGCATTTTAGGATATCTGAGGAGGCTTTCTATCACATATTTAATTTCTATGAAAATCGAAAGAAAAATGTTTTTTTTTTTCATTAAAATAGCGTGCGTGATGGATCGAGCTGCGTGCGCAAGAAGGAAGTGAACCATACGGCCTCAAGTAACTGTTGAGGTTGAGGTTATTAGAATTGTTTATATTAGACCAAAAAGTAGATTACGAAATTAAGCTGGTATTGTTACATTCGTATTACTCATCTTAGTTTGTTGGACATCGCCTATCATCAAGTTTACGCACGTTTATCGCATAATACGACGTCGCGAGTACACCTACAAAAAATGAATCTTATTTTAAGACTTCGAAAATCTAAACATAAATATAACGTTTTTCAAAAGCTTAATTGAGGCTTTCGAAGAATTTCATTTAAAATCTAGAAGTTTTAAATTAAGGCTTACGATATTCTAAAGTCTTCATTCAAAATTTGAAAGTCTTAACTTACCTCATTCAAAAGTTTTAACATGAAATTATGAAAATTCCAATAAGTAGTTTGGTTTCCAATTGCTCAGTATATAAAGACATCACACAGTGGGATATCTTAGCATCTCAATTCTATGAAAATACTCCCGACATAACATGCACAATCCTACTATTTAAAATTTGATAAAAGTTGAACTCATTGCCGCTATTTTCTCATGTTCAAAAACTATTATGAAAGTCAAGGAAAGTTGAATTCTGAATAAGATGAGTTGACATTTTCGAGTTAAGGTAAGTTAAGACTGTCGGGTTCCCAGTTGGTATTTCCAAAGTACTGGATTCTAGATTTGTCAAAATCTCATGTTAGCATATTTGAAAGTATCAACTTGAGGACTTGCAACTCTTAGGTAGAGACTCTTGCTAGTTTTCACTTGAAACTTGAAAAGTC